GTGAAAACATTGCAGCAGTGATCAACAGAAAGCTGAGCACATCACTAGCCACAGCCTATCCTGCAGCTAAGCTCGTCACCATCTATCGAAAAACTTGCTCTTTGATGCAATCAAAAATCGATAGATATCCTTCTCATGTTAACTTCAACTGTATATACAAATTTGCATGTATCTGCGGGAGCACTTACATTGGAACAACAGAAAGAAGGGCATATCTAAGATTTTCTGAACATGTACCAAAAAGATTACGTCTAAAAGGAACAAATACTTTAAACAGTGCCATCGCCAGGCATCTCCTCAACACGGGTCATGAGGTGAACGTCGAAAAGTCATTCAAGATTATCAATAAGCAAAAGAGCTCAATTCTCCTTAATTTTGCTGAAGTCAATCCCATCAAGCGCCTGAAACCTGACTTATGTGTTCAGGAAGAAGCGGTTATCAGTCTTTCTTTGCCCTGGTAACTGGATATTATTCATCCGAATGCGAGGTGCTGAAAAGTTTTCATTGTGTATGATTATTATTGTTCGGAATAGTGTTTAATATTACATATATATATATATATATGTATATATAATTTGTGTATGCGTATATTGATCGATTGATGTTTGTTTAAAATGAACTCTGTGCAAGTATGTTAAAATTGTTTTTGTAGATACATTTAATAATGTCTTTAGCCTGTAAGCAGCTGACGAGAAGGCAACGAAACAAAAGATGGTACCACTTTATTCTGCAAAACCGGTATTTCTTGCTTTGTTCAAATTCATTAAGGGAACAAATGTATGAAATCTGGAAGTACTGGACAACTGTTTCGTCCTAGTTTGGGACTCTTCAGCGGTACGCATAGTAGGTTGCGTGTGAGAAAAAATGCTCACCGCGGATGAAATTGGCTAGTAGTCGCACTATATCGTGAATTGGCAGAAGTTGGAATTCGCAGGCCATTGGATCGGGTCAAGCTCGCCATATAACCAGAAGGTCCCGGATTCTAACAATGTAGGTAGGTGCGCACTGCTTAGCAGTCTCAAGCTAGTACGAAACAGCTGTCCAGTAGCCCCTGATTTCCAATAATTCTGCAACTAGTTTTGGTTCGAGACACAACCTACTTATAAATTAGCATTGCATCTCCAAATCCATTACTATATATTATTACTTACAACTATTTATAAGTAGCGCACATCACAAGACAAAAATTATTGGATTCATAGTACATTAAAGAATGTATTATTAGTATCTTCTAACTCCTTTACATATGAAAACATCCTTTAACAATGTATAAGTTTTCTAAAATTACCATTGTCAAATTATTACAATTCACTATGGAAAGGTGTTATGTATCCCGAATTTTGTCTAACCTTAAAATAGCTTTATTTTGCAGGTTAAAGCCAGCCTAGACGGGCTTAAACTATCGTCTACTGAGGCAAAAGTTCTCACCAAATTTAATTGGATAGTCCCCAAGCAATCCAAGCAATAACGAAGAAAAGAACAAAATAAATGGTTCAGTCAAGAGGTTCTTTTCGCCAAATTCATTTTCTTTAGCTGTGCAATCGTACTTAAATACCACTATTTTTCACAAAAGAGGTGCACTGTCATAAGCATAATTATTATTATTATTTCCTTTAATTCCTAGAGGAACATAGGGCTTCAGCCATGCATCTCCATTGCGTTCGGTTCTCTGCTGTAGTTTTCACCTGGCTCCAAGTCTGCCCACACGCTTTCAATTCCTCTTCACATGATCTCCTCCAGGTCACTCTTGGACGACCAACTCGTCGCTTCCCTTTCGGGTTCCACTCGAGGGCTTGTCTAGTGATGTCACTTGCTGGTTTCCTCAGAGTGTGTCCAATCCATCTTCGTAAGCATAATAGCCAATATTAATCAATATATAAAAGAAGTTGAATAAGGCTGATAGAGTTACATAATGAGATCCAACAACACACGAAAGAAAATGTGTGCAAACATGCTGTTTTTCATTATTCGTGTTATCACAGATTGCCTCATATTTTCATCCTTATTATTGATAAGACCATTTTTATTATTACTATTATTATTATTATTAACATTACTACTATTATGACTAACTGCACAATTTGTATTCACCATCTTATTATCCCATTGACAAAACACCATGATTGGTTTATATTAGAATTTTTATTTGTAAACTTATGTATATTAGAGTTAGGCCTGATGAGATCTACTTGAAAGCAATATTCAAGTGTTGGTTTGTAGGGATTTGATTGGTTACAGGATTTTCATCATGAGCTGACATTAGTTAGAGAACCATTGGAAAACTAACTGGGAGTACTGGACAGCTGTTTCGTCCTAGTTTAGGACTCTTCATCAGCACGCACACACCGGGATTCGAACCCAGCACCTTCTGGTTACAAGACGAGCTCGAATACCATTAAGCCACTGGGACCCGATCCAATGGCACATGAATTCTAACTTCTGCCAATTCACGACATAGCGCGACCCCTAGCCAATGTCTTCGGCGAGTATTTGTCCTCAAACCCGACCTGCTGCACCCTACTGGCCACGAATTCTCACTAGAACCCCAGGTAACTACCTACCTGAATAGGGCAAGTCGCTAGTAGTTACCTGGGGTTCTAGTGAGAATTCGTGGCCAGTAGGGTGCAGCAGGTCGGGTGTGAGGACAGATACTCGCCGAAGACATTGGCTAGGGGTCGCGCTATGTCGTGAATTGGCAGAAGTTAGAATTCATGTGCCATTGGATCGGGTCCCAGTGGCTTAATGGTATTCGAGCTCGTCTTGTAACCAGAAGGTTCTGGGTTCAAATCCCGGTGTGTGCGTGCTGATGAAGAGTCCTAAACTAGGACGAAACAGCTGTCCAGTACTCCCAGTTAGTTTTCCAATGGTTCTCTAACTAATGTCAGCTCATGATGAAAATCCTGAAAGCAATATAGTTCGCTTAAATGTGTTGCTCTCAATAACTGTTTCACAATTATTTGGCCAAATAACTCTAATTCAAGGTTGGTTATTAAAGGTGACAGAAGCACTTTACGGATTAATCACATACATCCTAAACTATGTGTATAAAAACAATGAACTTCAACCTTCCCCTTCCATGGACTGACTAATTGACCTATTTAAATATGATTGGCCATTAGTATGTACCTTTGTTTTATAAAACTGAGTAATCGTCATGCGTTTTATTTTATCACTGTTATTCGTGTCAGTTGTATATATTATTATTATTGTATCCTTTAATTCCTAGAGGAACAGCCGTGCGTCTACATTGCGTTCGGTTCTCTGCTAGAGTCTTCACCTGGCTCCATGTCTGCCCACACGTTTTCATCTCCTCTTCACGTGACCTCCTCCAAGTCACCCTTGCACTGACGACCAACTCGCCGCTTCCCTTTCGGGTTCCACTCGAGCAATGGCTTGTCTAGTGATGTCACTTGATGGTTTCCTCAGAGTACGACCAATCCATCTCCATTTCCTGTTTCCTCATTGTCCACTGTTTGTCGCATAATCCAGTCTACTGCAATTAGGAAAATCATTGGTGATAGTAGGCAGCCTTGTCTTACTCCTGTCCTCACTTCGAAGGATTCAGTAAGTTTCCCGTTGTGGATTACTTGGCATGCAGCATTGTCGTACAGCTGTTGGATGAGATGTATAATTGTCGGTGGCACCCCGTAGTAGCGAAGTAGTTGCCAAATCACCTCTCGATCGACGCTGCCAAAGGCCTTTTCAAAGTCGATGAAGTTGAGTGAGATAGAGAGGTGACTGCCATTCCAAGCTTTGTTCAATCATGATCCGTAATGTGGTGATCTGATCAATGCATGACTTGTTTCTCCTGAATCCAGCCTGTTCCGGTGGAAGTTTTTCATCCAGGGCATGTTTCATTCTCTCCAGGATGATGCGGCTTAGTATTTTGCTTGGGATGGACAGGAGCATAATTCCGCGCCAGTTCTTGCATTGACTTAGCTCTCCTTTCTTTGGTAGTTTGAATAAGTATCCTTTCTTCCAATCCTCGGGTACTTTGCCTTCTTTCCACACCTTCTCCAGTAGTGGCGTCATCAAGTCCGCCGTTGTCTCTGGGTCCATTTTCAACGCTTCTGCTGGGATTCCATCTGGTCCTGCTGCTTTTCCAGCTTTAAGCATCTTGATTACCTTCAGGACTTCTGACTTCGTCGGGGGGTTGGTGTTCACTAGTAGCTCTGTCTCCGTTGTTGGTATTGCTGGGCGCGTTGTCGGTGGTGATCTATTTAGGAGTCTTTCGAAGTGTTCAACCCGGTGTTTCCTTTGCTCCACTTCTTTGGTGAGTGGCTTTCCGTTGTATATATATATATATATATATATATATATATATATATATATATACTCAAGCGCTGTCAATTACTTTGACCGTTGTTTCGAAACAGTGAAAGCTCCCTTACAAACGTCGAGTCTTTTCTTTTGTCTTTGAGTGCTGACAGTGTTATTGCTGTTGTTGACATGCAATTAGGACGCATTAGCCGGCGCATTAAGTTAGTATTCACTCATAGTCTACTAGGTCGTAGTTGCGGTGATAACAATAACTTGAGCCTGTTTTTAGCAATAGTAAGGAGGCATAAAATAAACTCAGAGTTTATATTACGATGAAAGTTTCATTATACCTGTACTTACAGTTCATAATCTTCTTAGTTTACCATATTATTAAAGCACTTCTTACAATCTACATACTAATTAGGTGTACATTAGACTGACGGGATGCTTTAATTTGAAGACATTGTGTACAAATAGTCCGTTAGAATAAACTTATAAAATGAAACAATTATAACAATAATAATGACTTATGCAGTAATTACAGTGTAGATTTTATCATGAACCAACATCATCTAGAGAGATCATTGAAATTCAGGGAACACTGAACAGCCGTTTTGTCCTACTTTGGGACTTTTCAGCAGAGCGTGCCCACAATCCCGTCAGGGATTGAATTCAGGACCTTTAAGCTCATTAACTCATGAATTCTAACTCCCTTGACGAAATCTACAGTGATGAAATTCCTACAAAAACTGAAATGATTTAATTACCTCTTTATGCAGTAATACAATAACAAAACCATTGCATTCACTTGTTGCTTCAACTCGTATAAATTTATTCTTTGCTATAATACTCGGCTTGCCTTGATCAAATGCATCTCTTTCTTCTTGAAATGCTGGGAAATTTGGAATTTCAGGATTGAATGCTGTACCGGTATTTGTTCCCCGACTAGTTTGTGCAAGTATTTCAGCTTCTTTCAGTAAAAGACGATTTGTTGCTTCAACAACTTTAGTGACTACATTATCTGTTTCCTCTATATCATCTGAGTGAAACAGGATTGTAACTGTACGTAAACCAGCAACTGGAAATATAAAAGGAAGAAAAGAAAGAAGAAGGTAGGCATCATCAATATGATTTGACAATCTTAATTACTTCAAAACAGATTTCTCATATACTACAGTACATGAGCCATATATATTGTGTGAATGTTAGAAAAACTACTCTCCAGCTGCCTCACGAGAAGGCAGGTAGAACGAGATTCGAATTTGGGACCAGTTAGCCGAAAGCTGATTGTTTAGGTGAAGTTACCAGTGAAGATTTGGATCCCTCAAAATTATTATCCAGTGATTTGAAGCTCTCAGCTACCCACAAGTATATTGGAAACACTGGCCACCTGAAATGAATGCATTTATCATTACGTGCCTATAAAACTGGCTAATTCCCTATTTATATCCTAAATTAGATGAAATCTCAGCTTGAATACAAAATAAAGAAAGAGCTAACATATTTACAGGATAATACAAGTTCGTTTTATTCCGAGGATTCTCCTCAATTGCATACGTCCCAAATAAATAATAAATAAAAAGGAAGAAAAAATGGGAAGATTGAAAATCTCACCTATAGGAAAGAAACTTGGACTAGTCAATACAGGAATTATCATACCTTTTACCCAATCGGCTACAAACGAAGCCTGGTAAAAACCTTCTTTACCAGAGCTAAGGCGTTATGTTCAGAAGAGGAACTCTGAGTTATCGAAAAAAACCTTAGCGAAAATGGATAGCTTCGAAAGTTCATATTTAGATATGATGGTGAAGATTTGTAGCTCAGGTGGATGATTTTGATGTAGTTGTGTTCTCTGAGCTGGATAGCTTATTTGCGAAGCTTTCATTGTCCTACTAAGCAACATCGTCAGCGCATACTTCAATTCGTTGAAGTGAGCTTTTAGATTTCTCCACGAGTTTATTAGTCATCTCTTTCAGTGGGTGACCTTGAACGTGATTGGTTGTTTCTGCGTGTTTTCACACCCTCTAGGCTACTTGTATTGTAACTGATTGTTTCCTTGACTTGAACTTTGACCCTTTGAGTGTGAGATTTCCTTCTTATCTAGTGGTAAATTTTGTCTATCTTGATGTGTCTATTGATTGGTGACTCACTGGAATACCAGGATTCTAAAAATTTTCTAACATTCTTGATATTTCCTTTGCCTAATATTTGAACGCTGGTTGTCCTAGTTGAATTGATATCCGTGGTTGTCTGTATGTGGTGATATGAGGGAGTGGATGTCATGTCTTTTGACTGCTAGCTTATGTTCATGGATACGAAGACGAAGGGGACGTCCACTTTGACCAATGTAGTGTTTTTCGTAGTTGTTACAATTTATTTTGTAGATGATGTTGGTTTTATCTTCTTTCGTTGTTGATCCTTATGGTTGACATAGAACTGAGTGAAGTGATTTTGTTGGTTTGTGTGCGACGTCAATTCCTAAATGTCTGAACAGTCTTGCAGTGATTTCTGATTAAATTCCACTTCTAATCACCACCCACCAAAAGTGTGTAAATACTGTTCAGAATAAAGCTATTATTATTATTATTATTATATGACAATATTAACAAGTGCAACATTTCAAACATTTATGATTCAAACTGTTTTAGACATTTATGATTAGTTGTTATAGGCGGATGGGCTTTATGTTAAGCGTTGATTCTTGTTGGTACAGTATTCTAAGCGAAACAACTAATATCATCTACTTCACTGTTATTGTAAATTTCAGAGGAAAAACACAGTTTTGTTCAGCGAGAAATTATTTATTTCAATGACTCCATTTTTAAGCTGTACATGTGTATTTATATCATGGAAAAAGGCATTATGTGGCACTATGATAAGAATAAAGAGAATTAACATTATTTTTAAGGAGGGTAGAAATGAAGTGCATCTATTCACATGCACTTGTAGAGCCGATTACATTCATTGTTGTAAGCATGTTCTCCAGAAATGTCTACGTGAACACTACCTGGTTTAGTTAGTGAAAAGCGAGCATAGGATAATGAAGTCTTCCATTTGTAAAAACCTTCTTCAGTTAGGTCATTCATATCATGTCAACTTGATATGATTATGAGCAATAGTTTGTGCTCGAAACGTCATCAGTTAATATAACTGTACAACACTGTGTGATTTATCAAAATAAAATCTTAACCATTATGGAGTTATACTCTACCACAGTGCCCAAGTTTTATACTTATATCAATAAGTAGGGTATGGTTGAGTTTTTGTACTTGCCGGTGCGAGCATATAGTTTTCTATATAGGCTTCTGGTTTCACCTGATGAGATGCAAGGGGAGAGTTGTGAGTGGAGAGGGCGGTGTGAGTTAAATAAAATGGATTTAGCCCATTTTTCACATGAGTCCATGTGCCTGTCGACCAGAATATCAACAAGCTGGTTAAGTGGCACGTTGCTTACCCTGCTGACAACCTTTAACATCCTGTGTAAATCAGATTTTACCTAAACTCTAATTCAACATTGATATTTTTTTGACTTTATAACGGCTCATTTCTACTAAATAATTAGTATATGGAATAATTGGGAACATAAGACATCATATCACAGTAGTCATATTGATTTTGTTACTGCTGTTAGTTTTGAGTTAGTATACAAAAATTTCATGTATATAACTATGAAGGTCACTGATCATTCCAGTTGATAAAAAGAGAAGCAAATAATTAGGCGATAACCACAGGAGGATCACCTGCACGCACATTTTGAAGCTGTGCACTTTCGTATTTATGTAACAGGAAAATATAGAAAAAAACAACCCATTTAGACACTTAGAAAACAGAAAGATTGAGCGACGAAATATTTAATTTTCAGTTAATATAACTGTACAACACTCTGTGATTTATCAAAATAAAATCTTCACCATTATGGAGTCATACCCTACTTAGCTCGTGTTCTGTGCGATAAAGAAAGCATTAGGCGTGACACCTATAATTCATTATATAGTCAGTAGAACAACTAGACCTCGTATTTCCAACTCATATCATGTACAGGTACAACATTTTCTTTCTTTCTTTTCCTTTTCTCCCTCTCTCTCTTTTCTTTCTTTCCGTTATGTTCTGCTTTGTTTCTTTCTTCCGCTTATGCCAGTAAATATGATAGCACCTACTTTTCCAACACCTTCAAACACTGTTCAATTTTGGCTTTGCTACCGACATGCCAATATGTTGTTGTCATAGTGAACTGAGATTTCCTTAATCTATGTAGAATTCTATTTATTGATAATGTACTAAGTGGATGCAATACTGTAGTAAAAATGCTGAGAATTCCATTCTGCATCACATGTACCGTTTTGGAATAAAGCAAATTATTATTATTATTACCACAGAGGTTACCATATATGCATCTGAGTCTTTTAGTTCGACTGGAAGAGCAGTCAGTAGGCAATCTTACAGTAAACCAATTTAAAGCCTATCACGACGACGCTTTCTTTTCAAGTTCAATTAACACCACCCTCCCTGATTAAACATTAGTCTGGAAATCTAAAGTTGTTTTATTTATTCTCATCAAAACGAAAAAATACATTTATGAGACTTATGAAATAAAACTTACATTTCAATGCATGTCTTAAGATGGATGACGTTTTAGTTATTAAATCCAACCGCCTATTATCCTTAGTAGGATTCCCAGGCAACGTCCACATATCACGTAGTATTATAGGATCTAAAAAAACAATCAAAGTATGAAGTATTAAGAATTCACGAAACATTCTATTGCTTTTTTCGTAACAACTTCGAAGTCCTTAGTGAATTCCCAGTGCCCTGACTGAGTGACACGGCATCTCACACCTCGATTCGATCCCACTGAACAGTCATCTGTATGCTGTCCAGTTGAATAGATCTGTTTCTAGCCAGCATTAAATTTAAACAAATGGAGAGACATTGTTTCACCCACTGACAACTGAAATCAAATCAGCCATGGAGTATGATAACCCCACATAAGAGATGCCTGAAATATTTGTAGGAAAATCTTGAGGGATAATTTAACCTACCTATAACTGCACCACGTGCTTCGGTGGTTCAGCGTTATAACGCGTTATAACGTTACGGTCCGGAGTTCGATCACCAGCCGACGCACTCCTAAACCTTACTAAGCCGGTAGTAATGCTGGTAAAGAGAAAAGGCCGGGCGTGGTGTTGGCGACCCCTGAAACATCAAAGCTCTGGCGTGAAGCAATCTTAGGTTTCATTGGGAATGTAAAGGAGTGAAGACAACAACAGCAGTACAGTTGCTTACCATCTCTAACTGGTCCAATCAGGATATATAGGTCTGTCAGCTTATTTTGACCAAACGGCACAAAAGTGTCCAATGTTTGCTCCATTTCCGCTCTATAATTAGCATTTGACTCCGTCGACTGATGAATGCCATGTTAATATTTGGTTGAAAAGCTTATAGACAGATGTCATCTGAAGTGAAGATAACCAGTGTTATCCGTTTGGAATATCCAGTGACACCGTTCTTATTGCGTCCCATTATAGACATGCTGATAGATGTGCCTGCTGCCCACTTTGGTGTTTTAAGGATTATTTTCTTACCAACCGAAAGTATTATTGATCCTAAATATGCAGGTGATATCAAAATAGAGATTCTCCCGAACAACTTTAACGAAATATCTAGGTGGGCATGACATTTGATTCGTCTCTTTCACGCGTAAGATTTTTCAGAACAGGTCTGCATTGACTTCTAGTCTAAGGATAGTTATTAAAAAAGCTGAATATGATAACCTTTTACGAACATGAATTGTTCTGGTTGAGTTCATGTGTGTCCTTTTTTTAGTAGCATTCTGTTCCCTTTAATTTTTCATTGTTGTGTTTTTTGAAGTGTTCCAAAGCAATTCTCTGTAATATTCTATGTTAACCCTTCACTCAGTCCTCACTGGTCCATCTGGTAAAACGCTGACGGCAGTAATGTACAATAATAGCAGCTGAATTTACTTGTTTATTCATTCAAGTTTATCAGCAGTGACGGCCACCAATGTCAGTGCAGAACACAAAATGTTATTATCTCAAAGGAATTCTGTTCAGCAAATACCACATTGGAGATGACACTAAGTACAGTGATCAGTGCATTAAAACTGCTTCCGAGATGACTGCTGATATGGCTAACTGACTCAGCAGTCAACTCCGAAATTCACAGACTTACATCAGTTCAAGCTAACAGAGGTGATCATCATAATAAGAGTAACAAGGATAAATTCATTCAGCTGTTTATATGATCTAGGTAATGATGATTGTATAGGTAGATTGAGCATACTAGTAGGGGTAGAGAGGAAAATAACTACAATAAAAGAAAAAGGCGTTCAGCTAAGATTTACTCTTTTCACCCATATCATTCTCAAGCTGCACAATCGCATATGTGTATTTTGTAAATTTTAGTAAATTTTCTTAGCAAAAACAGGCATATTTCCAAAGATGTGTCAGTCATCAGAACTGTGAATTTTTTGATAATAAATTAAGTAATGTAGGAAGCGTTAATCAAATAGAAACTAACATAAAATTCGATAAATAAGTCGATTGAAGTAATATAATTGACGCGGTTGAGTAGAATTCAACTAAAATTTGAACAAAGGTCAAGCTAGCAACAATGGTAATAAGGAGTAGAAATTTAATAGGCGGTGGGGGAAGGAAATGATACAGTTAAGAAGCAAAAACCTAAAATTACGTATTTGGTGTTAAGGTAGATCAGGTCCATTGTAGATTTAATGGTTGAATAAACTTCATTTTTATTCAGTATTCAGGATTTCACCTATGAATCGCCATTGCTTCTGCGGTTTGAAGAAGTTTGCTTCGTACTGTTTTGGCAACATTCCTTTGTGTTCTTCAGATAACTTTGAAGTTCCTTTGTGGGTTAACTTGGTGTCCAGATTCGATCAGGTGTTCGAGGATAAAGTTGTGGCGGGGGGTTCCATATTAGTTTGTTTATTAGATATATCACACAGTGAAACAGTATTATTTACTGGATGACACAGTTTCGAACACAATCTATGGTTGTTCATAATCATATCAATTGTGATCACACGACTTTGAAACTTCAAAGTCGTGTGATCACAATTGATATGATTATGAACAATACATTTCGTTCGAAACGTCATCCAGTAAATAATACTGTTTCACTGTGTGATATATCTAATAAACAAACTAATATGGAATTACTTACTACCATAGTGCCCAAGTTTTACACATTTATTAATGTGGCGAGAGGTTCTTTTTTCTCCTTTATAAAACCATGACTGTGGGTAAGTGTTCCATGATACGTTTGTATAGCAAATACTGGGTTCGGCCGACATAGCCAGGTCCATTTTAGCAGGTGAATTGGTAGATGCCCATTGATGAAGCCTGTCAGTAACGGTAGCCCGGCCTTCATGTTCATGCGAATCGTTGGTTTCGCAGAGAAGGTTAATGAAAGTTCAGCCATGAAGAAGGTTTACTTCAGTGGCCTGGACAGGCAGATTCTCAGTATTTCTGCCGATGAGTCTCCATAGAATTGTAGATTCAAGTTGAGACTTTTTCGGGGGCAGAAAGTGTGGGCGGTTTAAATGATTTAGGTTGCATGGATTTCGTGATGAGACTTTCTAGATAGCCATTTTCGAGGAGGACTCTTTTCAGAATGTTCACCTCCTCTTCCATAGTTTCAGGGCAACAAATTCTTTGGCTCAGTGAACGTATATGGTTACGAGTTGATCACGGACTGATATCAGTTAGAGAACCATTAAAAAACCTGGGAGTACTGGACAGCTGTTTCATCCTAGTTTGGGAATCATGGGCAGTACGCACCCACTGGGGTTCGAACCCAGAACCTTCCGGTTACAAGGCAAGCTCGTATACTATTCAGCCGCTGGCTCATGAATTCTAACTTCTACCAATTCGTGATTTAGCGCGACCCCGACCACTGTCGTAGGTGGGACACCCATCCACACACGTGACATCTAATTGGACCTCACTGGTCACTACTTCTCACTAGAACTCCAGGAAACTTCAGCCTGTAGCAAGTCACCAGCGAGCATCAGATTAATTTTCTATAGTTTGGTTTGTAAGGGTTAGTTATGTTTTTACGAGTTGATCACGGACTGATATGGTTACGTTTTATATAGAGAGACACCCAACTATAAAAGTAAGTGAGTTGTCCGTTCCATGTCGGCTTTCTGTAGATGGATCTCTTTAGTGTTCCATCATATTCAGGTCTTGTTAACTGAACGTCAAGAAAAGACATTTTTGTGTAGGACTCCTTCTGTAATGTGAACTAAATCTCTGGATGTTAGCTGTTGACAAAGTTCAGGATATCCTCTAAATTCTCCTTGATATTGGAGATACTGGAAGTATCGTCCAGGTATCTCTTGTACAACTCGAAGCTGTCGATCATTTTCTTTAAGTATGTGCTTAATAGTTTTGACATGAAAATATCTGCGAATAGTGGGCCCAGTGGTGAGCCCATAGCTATACCCTTCTTTGTCGATATATTTCGTTGTTGAAAGAGAAATAAACATTTACAGTGGGTATCCCAATGTTTATCCCCTCTCAATCAATATTTTTGCATATGTAGCATATTGTGTCAGTTAATGGGACATTCATTAACATCCAATGGGAAGAAACACTGACATTTTCAATGGAGTTGACAAATTCGAAGGAGTCTCAGAGTGGCTGGTAGGAAACTTATCTTCTGATTGGTTCTTGTAGGCCTACTAGCTATTAGGCAGTATGATGGTCAGGTGAATTTGTCACATTGAGGATAAATCGAAGAGGTATTCATTTCTTTTGCACTTTTAGAAATCCACAGATTCGAGGTATGTTTGAGGCAGACGGCTTCAGCGATTCGAAGGTTTGAGCCTCAGTGAATACCTCATTCTTAAGTTTTCGGAATATGTCCGTTAGTTTCCGTTCGGCTTCCTCCCTCAGGTTCATTTCATTGACCGGTTTTGTGAATTCGGATTCATTGGATAGGATAGTCAGCATTTTACTTATGTAGTCCTCACGATTCATGATTCCCATCCTCCCACCGTTACCAGCGCGTATTAGAGTGGTCTATTTGTTGTCCATTAATTCTTTAAGCTCTTTATAATACTTTCTGGTTACTATGGACCTTCGTTTAGTCTTGATATCTATAAACTTATGGCAGCTGTCAACAATTGACGGTTTGAATTGTTGCAGGTTCTGTCAGATGTCAGGTTTTCAAACTGAAACTGGGATTGCAGCTTCTGAATTTTGGATAGTTTTGGGCAGAGTTTTGGACCTATGTTTAGTGCTTCTAGTTGAATTGCTGACGGTTCAGAGTTTGAGAGATTAAATACGTATTTTTCTGGATTGATTGGGAATGGATTTTTGGTATTACTAGCTGACTTCAGGCTTTTAATTATATCTGCGTTTGTCTTATCAAATTGTTTCTGTGTGACTTCTTGAACATATTCTTCAAAGGATTGGCGTAGTTCTTGATCTAAATTGTGAACTGCATGAACGCGTAAGTAGACATTGCATTCTAGTTGAGGAACATGTGGTTGAATGCAGTCAGTGTTGCACTCGGTTGGATATGGTTGCATCTGAGTGATTTCCAAAGCAACTTTGGATATTTACATCGATTTGAACATTTTCTTAAAAAACTGTGTCTCTTTCTTCATTAATGTAAGCTTGATGGAGTTACACTCAAAATTGTATCGTATACAACTAACTGACTAACTTGCTTACTCAATACTCAACCCAATCTCAAATGAGAAGTCCTTCAAAAAACTACAGGTCAAAAACCTAAAACCCTTTCAAGTAGCCCATTTTGAGGGTCCATTTTTCCCAGTTATTAAATTAGTCCACAGGATCAGTTTTACTGTAATTTATTAATTAGAAAAAAAGGAGTTAAAACCAATTTAAACAATTTCACTAATTACCTTCATTTTCAATTTCAATAAATTCAATTGGACTTGCAACAGCACATCGTGTATCACTGGCTTCAATGAAAATATGTCGAATAAATCGATTATTTTCACCATTTGGTAATAAAGTTAAAAAATCTTCACTTGAATTTTTTGTAGCTGTAAAATGATAAAACAAAGTTCAGGTGAAAGGAAAAGTTAAACTGTTACTATCCAATTTAATCTAACCATTACATTGCATGGCTATTATTATTATTATTCCCATTGTGTTCCTAGTGGAACATACAGCTCTGTTCTCTACAGTCCTCTCTCGCCGGCTTCACGACTGCCCCTAGGCTCTCGTTTCCTCCTTACACTATCTTCTGCATGTCACCCTCGGACTGCTTGCTCGTCGTTCACCTTTCAGGTTCCACTCGAGAACCTGACATGCTATGTCAGCCAGCAGGCTTTCCAGTGTGTTCGATCCATCTCCTTTTACTTCGGCATATTTTTTGCGTGATAGGTTCTTCGGCAGTTTGTTCTCAGAGTCTCTTGTCATTGTTAATCCCTTTTGGCCACCTGATCTTCAGCATAGAGTGAGCGTGGTTGTTAATAGAAGTCTGAAGCCTGTGTGAAATGCTCAGAGAGTTAGATTTCCAAATTAATTTCAGAGTATTGAATGTCTTCTTCGTCTTTCCAGTGCTGACTGACTGCTCGTAGTTGAGAAGACTCTGCTCAAATAAGTGAAATAAGTTACCTCGTTCAGATTTCTCCTATTGATAGCAACTGATGCTTGTTGGTGGTGATCGCTCGAGTATCTTCATCACTTCTGTCTTTTCTATATTCAGAATTGAAAACATTTATTTCCTGACATGAATTTAAAACAAGCAAATCTATATTCACTTGGAGTTCTGTCTTCGCCTACAGCCTCTTCCCCCAACTTGTCGGATTTAATCTGTAGATATTCGAGAGTGTGCGTCAGTGTAACGACAGAAGACAAGGACCAGTCCATAGATCGTTTATTGAGAAAATCAACAAATATTCATAGATTTTTATCGACATCACTATTCGTTATTGTTAGCACAGAAGCAACGTCTTCTGATTGATTGTTTTCCTACTGAAGGTTATTCTGTCATCTCTTTGTGGCCGTTTCTTAGACAGTCCGGCCACATATCTGCGAATCATTTCTGCCCACGTTAAGTCTTCTTTGATTGGTTGGTGAGTTTACCAAGGTTAAGCTTAGTTCTAATTTTTTCTCAGGACCAAAATCTGGGACGTAAACATTGACGTAAATTGTTGCTTACAATTTCGGCTTCCAGACAGGTCTCAACACGACAGTAGACATAAATCAACCGCAAATTTCAGATCTTTTAGAGTCTTCTTACTGTCCCAACGTATTCCTGTCTTCTAGCTCCCTGTGGCCTTCCTCACAATCCAGTCCACCAAAATTAGGAATATCATCGGTGATATTAGGTATCGATTAAAATGGCATATTTTTCAGCTGGAGACTAATTGTTAGGATCGCTAGTGTGTCATTTAGCCTATTTTCTTCTGACTAGTCTATTAGTAAATTAAGCCAGTAATAGGAAATCTGAAGTCATCGACAGAATAATTCATGAATAAAATTCTCATTTCCATATTATTCTCCCATTTTACATTACGAAAAGAGAAAGCAATGATAATAATATGAACTCTTCGCAACCTTAAGTAACACGGATGACGCTGTCAAAGTCTTTCAGGACTGTTAAAGAAAGATAGGTGTTCATCACCTTGCATTTCATCACATTACTGGAGATCTACACCAGCTAGCGCAAGAAAGAAGATCGAGATGCTTGACAATAGTATCAACTCAGTGCTGCCACATAATTTGGGGTATTGGCCAGCACTTAATAAAAAGCATTTCCAAGAAGTAGCATACTTTTATCAACGACTGCCATCGCCTTGTGGTAGAAATTGGATAGCTTGGCGGAATGAATAAACAAGCCTTGAAGAACTCTGAAAATGAAACACATAAGGACCTACTACCCGAAAAATATGCAGAAGATAATGGAGATGGATTGGACGTACACTGAGAAGATAAACCTTCAAGCGATATCACACACCAGGTCCTTGAGCAGGAATGGTATCGGAATGGACGAGTTAAATGTCAACCGAAGGGTGACACAGTGAGGACGATGTGCGGTAGAAAAGCTTGAAAGCTTGGAAGTGAATCAATACGAGACAACCATAAAATGCAGCTGAATTATCAGTTAACAATGAAGTTCCCTTTAAATTCATATTGAATCTACTTAGATAACTAAAAGAAACAGTCACTGTTTGAAGATCATAGTGAAAGCTTTGGTTGGATAACCTCTGATTTATTTTCTTTAACTTTCACCTTCAACCTTCAGCAGTGGTTTTCTTAACTGCATTTACCTTCTTCTGTGACTTGAAGGTGACTGGTAGCAGTAAAGGAATGACCTCTATATGTTCTTCATCAAGTTTAATGTTGAAAACTGCATCTTTTAATAACCTGGCAACAATTTCTATATAAACTAACAGACTTGGTAATATTTCTTGAGTTGTTTGTTCTTCATATTAAGGCGACATTTCTGTTGCCGTTAGATCTGTTTAGCAGACAGAAATACATTAATTAAGATGGTTAAGAGATGTGTTCCACATTCCAAGCTATAGTATTCCTCATCAAGAAATGTTAGGTGACATAGAAATGGGCTGAAAAACACTGAGGGGTGGACAAATCAAAACATGGAACCAATCCATGAAGACTTCGACTATAGGTTTCAGCCATATACGAAGGTGTGGATAACGTGGCTTAGGTTTCTGAGAAGTTGACATTGTTAGTTACATGGCTAATTGTCAATAGCGCAGATGTATTCATTCTTCATGATCTCCCAGACAGACTAAGTCCTCATTATTCTTCATGAAGTTATCCTATCTCCTGGATAATTCTCACCATAATAGTTTCCTTGTATCTATTTTTGTCGCTTCCTCAGTTATGTTTGCTTTAAGAAGTGTGGGAACTTTAAATGTAGCACTATCGTGCAGAGTTCTGTTTTGGTAATTCAGGTCAATTCAGACTTCCTAGTCGAAATATAAAATTACTTGGTTCTGAGGCAGAAATGACTATCTGCTCTAACTTGCTTATTGAGTTGTTTTAAAAAAGAATAAATATTGTCTATAATGATTGCATTCATTACCTTTAGAACCCATTTTTATGGGTAGTCGAACATCTTCATCTTCCTTCAATGGTCGTATACAACGAATTTGTGGAACTGGTTGAATCAACGGGAATTTATTACCAATTAAACCTTCCAAATGTACAGCTGAATAAATATTAATACAATTTACAAAGAGCACTTCTTCACCACCAGCATAATTTGATAGCATACAGTGAACAGCTAGGCAGGAACTTTTATCCTAAGATTAGAAGTGAAAAACAATACAACAAAAGATATACTGAATTAAACTCATTGTGTTGAATTCTACTCAATGTACATGGGTTTGATAAAATCTCCATTTATCGATTCTAACTAAACATAAAGTCGAGTACTTTGCAAGACAGTCACTCTGTGATTAGCTATCGGATATATAACTGACTACAGGAGTGGTTCACGTTAGCATATAGAAAATTGTTACCCTATAGGCATGTTAAAGTAAATCAACATTTCGTCTATTAAGCCAGTCTCTTTTAGCTTTAAAAAAAAAGATTAATCCCATAAATCAAATTCTCATTTTGTCAAATTCATTTGCAATTTACACAGTTCCCTTTTTGAAGGAGAAACTATCCAAATCTCAATGTATTATCTGCTCTATACCATAAATGATAATCAAGAAAGAAAGCATAACTGCATAGGTCCTACATACTACTGATTGGTCGAAATAAGTAGTTGTGTGGTGAGAGCTGCCTGCAAGCCAAAATTGTAAACAACAATTTACGTCATTGTTTACGTCCCGAATCGGGGTCATGAGAAAAAACAAAAACAAAGCTTAACCTTGAGGAACTCAACAGCCAATCACAACAGACTTAGCGTGTGCAAATACGATTCGCAGATATATGGCTTAACTTTCTAAGAGACGATCAAAAGAAGTATAGAATAACCTTCAGCAAGAAAACAAGCAATCAGAAGTTGCTTTTCTGCTAACAATAACGAATAGTGATGTAGATAAAAATCTATAAATATCTGTTGATTTCCTCAATAAACGATCAGTTGCGTGGCCCTTGTCTTCTGTCGTTACATTTATATACCGCTTATATTGACCAATTGTGTTCGCTATCTAAACTAAGGTGATCTAAACATCAGACTGCCGTTTTGCTTGTTTGTCATAGGTTTTGGTATCATGCAGATAACATATTGTGATTTGAATGATTTCGATTTTGTGAAGCTACCTCTTATCCGAAGTGGCTAGTCAGAAATGAAGTAGTTTGAACTGATTCGGCAGTCTGAGCTAGGTTATCCCGGGTGCACTGTTGATGAGTTAAGCACCAGACGAGCGAAATGAACCCCCAGTGTTTAGACTATTTAATTCTGTGTAAGTAGCAAAGATGATTGATTTATGTGAGGAGTATACTACTACTGGTCGCAACCAGTTAGTAGTATATAATTTTAAGACTGATTTCTGCATTTAAATATTTCACTTCTTCTACTAGCGCTTGATGTTTGTGCAGAATGACTATACATCTCAAAAAATGCTGATTTGGGCGGTTGATAAACGAATCAGAGAGGAGGAATGTTTCATAAAACAGCCATAATCCTAGTCCACAAACCTAGAAAAAGTATACATGAAAGTAGAGGAATGAAAATGCAACGAAAGCACAGTGGATGAAAATGCATAACAGGAGAAATAACTAAATGAAAAACTGGCCAAGATTTTTTCAGAATATATGCGATGATAATGATTGAGTGCATCTTGAAAGATTTCAAGCCACATCACAAGGACTCTTCAATAACTGTTTATTGGCATCCTTGACGACACTGGAAAGATTTATTTGCCGATGCGAATTTGAAATAAGCAATAAATATTAACAGAGCAGGATTGAATGAATTCATCGAAATTTCGTAGAAATCTTCGAGGGTATACTTAGCATACGGTGTTATGTACACCATTAGAAATACAAAAAGAGATATGTGAGTATCTGAACTTGATCTTTAAAGCATATTCATCACTAGTTCGTTTTGCTATTTTAGGTTCATTGTGATTTGTTTACCAGTTATATTTCTCGTTATATATTTGTCATAGTAACTATAACTTTGTAAGTAGAGTATTTGGCTGTGCAAATTTGGTGAATGGTGACTAGCAGTGGAATCCAGGACAACGCCAATTTCGTCCCATCTTGGACTCGTCTACTGGATTTGACTGCATTCTCCAATGAGCGATAATGTTCCCAATGATACTCGAACACAGTACCCATAGTTCCAAATGCCAAAACAGGTACATTCAGGTGACGAATACCGAACAGAACGAAATGCACATCCCGGATTTCACTGCTAGTCATTATCCACCAAATCACTTCAAGTTAAATCCCCAGACATAATCGAATCATCCGCACAAGAAGCCGAGATGTCAAATAGAGGCCTAGCATTCCAGTCCAACTAATCAACAGGAAAGTCCAAACTGAATTAGATTTAGCTAAGTTCCTCAAAAATTTGATGAATTTGTTACACTCTGCTTTATGAACATCTTTTTAGCTTATTTTAAAGTTAAAGACTTCACGCGTTGGTACCATATTTTGGTGTGATCACTTGAATTTTATACATACATTTGAATGTCTATCTACACTAAGAACTCTATTGCTTAGAATGAAGTATACATGAAATTAAGGGTTTACCCTGTGATGTTATAGTATTCAGAAATCGTAGACTCAGTTAAACTGGATCTTTGCATTAGACAAATACAAAATGGAATATTTTCAAGTGTGGAATTGTGTAGGTTTGACAGACTTAAATATACACACACTACTGAAAACTGAGGAGCTCTGGAATGTTGTTTCTTACTAATTTAAGACTCTTCATTAATGTGCACCCATGACACCACTAGCTATCGAATCGAAGAACATCAGGTAACGAAAAAGGCTGTTAGGCTATTTAGTGAAATGCATTTCATCGTTGCTGAATACTTTCTACAGAAATTTGAAGTTAATTATTAACAGTCGACAGTTAATTACATATATGGATAACTTGTAACTATCACACAGATTACGTTAATCATAATTTAATAGCCTGGCAGGTAAGCTTGTGGTGTCTGGTGCTGACATGGATTTCTAAGCACTGCATTGCCGAGGCCATCAACAAGAACCTTGAATAAAGGAGGGACAGATTAAAGTGCAAAGAAGAAAAATGAAGATCATCTTGAAATAATTTGGAAAGTATTAAATGGAGACAAAAGAAACAGAATACAAATAACTTTTGTGGATTGAAATTTCAATGTAGTGTCTTTGTATTTTTTTGTCACTGTACATCATCTCGCCAAATACAGAATTCTGCTTCTATATACTACTGTGGTCTGTCGTTACAAATGTGTCACACGTGACAAGAAACTTCAAATTCAAGTGGTCTTTTGCAGGGATTCGATTTGACTGGTTACAGGACTTCATCATCAGATGACGTTGGTTAAAGGACCACTGAAAAGCCACTACTGGAGTACAGGAAATCCAGCTGCTTAGTCCCAGTTTCGGACTCTTCAACAGAACGCACTTACCTCCAGCGTTTGAACCAGAACCTTCCTGTTACAAGGCGAGCTCGTAGAACATTAAGCCACTGGGACCTGATATAATAGTCCATGAATTCAAACTTCTGCGGATTCACGATATGGTGCGACTACTAACCAATGTCGTCGGCGAGTTCTTGTCATCACACCCAACCTGCTGTCGGTCGGTCGGTTTTCGACATAGAACTTTGCACTGATGTGCGGCAGTTCAAGTCGCCACATTCCCTTCATGTAGCACACAAAGCAAGAGAAGAAAGTAGAAGAAATGCATAATATAGACAGTAAACAGAGGTGTGAGACAAAGGTATAGTAATAACGAAGAACAAAACAGTTTCATTGGAAATCACAAGTCACAACGAGTGGATGCATCTGCGCTAGCCATTGAGAACGATTTTGAGCCATGTCACCAATTGTTTCCAACCATTGGATTTTGCCGTCTCGAGGACCCCAATCAGGAAGTCTACACCTTCCTACATGGCTTAGACTAACTGTTGTAGATTTCATTGACTGGTGCCATGTTTTCGTTTGACCATCGCTAGCTCTTTTTCAGCCTGACCCTATATCAGCTAACATTGCCCATTGTCGAGGGAGGCGATGACTAGGCATACGTAGCACATGTCCTAACCATCTCAGTCGAAGTAATTTCACAGTCTCGTCGACTGATTTCCCCGCCTTACCTAGTACTCGACGCCAATATTGCTGTACCTGATTAGTTACGATTTTCCACTCGAATCCAAGTAACTACCTACCGAGTCAATAAAAATGACCAACAGAGACGTAAATTAATAACCACTTAGGACAATGGTTATGAGGAAATACAATTCTATGATACATGGAGACTTCAAATAAGTTCATTTCATACTAAAACATGTCTAGGTGGACAATAAAAGCTTCGCAATTATATCAAACAGCTCAGAGAACGCAACTAAATGAGAAAGTATTTCACTTTAGTCAGAATCAATTAAAAGCGTATCAAAGCGTAGAAAAAGTGGCAATGTGATCTGCAGGTTTAAAATCATTTCTGTCTTTTAATCTTTGTGAATATTATTAGAACTGACTATGTAATAATGTAGAAACATTGATACAAGAGACAAATGTACTAGTTGCATAATAAATACATCACATACTTGTAATATTAAATTTTTCTGTGCAACAATTTCAGAGTCAACTAAACGATTCATATCTTGTTTATTAAAGACAAATACATCAGGACAATGTTTATCTGATGCATACTCATTCGGTTGTGGTAGACGTCCAAGCATAATTCGTCGGAAACCATTCTCTTTTAACCAGTTTGTAACAATTTCTTGTCTACAGTAAGAGAAAATAATAAAGAAAATAACCATGAAAATTTCACAATTCTCGTTTATTTATTTATTCATTTTATGCATTCGAAGTGGAACAAAGAGCTTCAGCGAAGCGTCTTCATTCCCCTTTGATTCACTGTTATCATTTTCGTCTAGCTCAGCGACTATCCAGAATCTCTCACTTTTTTTCAAGTAATCTCTATGTCATCTCCGGAAATACATCCATGTCGTCACTTTCCGCTCAGATTTCATTCGATATTCTTGCGTGTAATGTCAGTGTAATGTCTCCTTGGTGTGTGCCAGTTCCAACTCCATTTCCTTCTGAATATTTGTTGGACAGCAGTTTTTGGAGTATTTGGTTGTTAAGCTTCCTAGTTTCTTGCTTATCGTTTCTGGCTGGTCATCGTATCTTTAGTATATAGAGAAGATCGGTCGGTCGGTCAGTTTTCGACATAGAACTTTGCACATATGTGCGGCAGTTCAAGTCACCACACTCCATGTAGCACACAAAGCAAGAGAAGAAAGTAGAATAAATGCATATTAGAGACAGTAAATAGAGGTTTGAGACAAAGGAATAGTAATAACGGAGAACAAAACAGTTTCATTGGAAATCATAAGTCACAAGGTGTGGATGCATCTGCGCTAGCCATTGAGAACGATTTTGAGCCATGTCACCAATTGTTTCCAACCATTGGTTTTTACCGTCCCGAGGACCCCAACCAGTCAGGGAGCCAGTCAACATCTTCCTACGTGGCTTAGACTAACTATTGTGGATTTCATTGATTGGTGCCATGTTTTCGTTTGACCGCCGCTAGCTCTTTTCCAGCCTGGCCTTATATCAGCTAACATTGCCCATTGTCGAGGAAGGCGATGACTAGGCATACGTAACACATGACCCAACCATCTCAGTCGAAGTAATTTCACAGCCTCATCGATTGATTTCCCCACCTTACCTAGCACTCGACGCCTAAACTCAATATTGCTCACCTTATTATACCACTTCACGTGGGAGATAGAACGCAGACACCTATGATCGAACACAGCTAATCTTTTCATGTCTTCTGCTCTCAATGGCCATGTCTCACTGCCATAAAGGAGGATGGAGCGAACTGATGAGCAGTACACACGCTCTTTGGTCGATAGTTGGATATCACGTCTACGCCAGAGACGGCGTAAATTGGCATATACGAACCTAGCCTTCTGTATTCGTGCTGAGATTTCGTCGGAGATCAACCCGTTGGGGCTGATGATACTTCCCAAGTAAGTGAAGCGGTCAACGTGCTCTGTAGGTGAAGGTCTGCTACCTTTTGGAAAGGCTTTTGGTGACACGCCAATACCATGAACTGTGTAGAAGCATTGACCTGAAATTAAGTCTAAAGATCAGCATCTTGTTCGTTGTACTCAGCTGTGTGAAACTCTACATCGATTCAAAGATATGAACACCTATCTTTACTTCCTGATTCTATCCTGCCGATATTGAGCGTTAATTTCAGGCACAATAAGGCATACTGAAAACAAGCCGCTGTCATTGTGAATAACTTAAATTCATAAAAAAGCTCTCCTAATATATGTTCAAATAACTCTTCCAGGATGGTTCATCGTGTAGAGATCAGAAGATTACCTTGACGGGATTCTTTAGACATTAAGAAACAAATTACTGGTGGCTATTGATGACAGGACACAAAACTTACGCAGTGGCGGTGACTCTTTGTGGCCTTTTAATTCTGTAAAAATTCTTACTATTATACATATAATAATTCTATGTGTCAGGTGTAGTAAATTAAATTTCCGCAATCTTTTACAAAGTTCTACGTTGCAAAATTCAATTCACTTTCAGTTCAATATGCAGCGTAAAGGTCCAGTCATGGAAGCCTACCTTTTCAAACTCAGTGTGAATTTGTTGACGTACATTTTGAGACGTTTACTGTCAGTCGGATTAAGGAAAATGTTCAATAATACAAAATTCATACCATTTACCTCTACTCTTTCTTTATTCAATTATTCATGAATATAAAACAAGCAATAAAGGTTAATAAAGCAGGATTCATGAATAGTACATCATAGATATTCGTCAGTTCAATGCATGATTCATCACTCACTGCAATCCTATTGATTGAAGAGACATTATCATACTAATCGGGAACCTCAAAAACTCCATTTGCTTGAAGTAACTAATTTTATAAAGGATTTCAATTGTGTTTACCTAACATATTGAACGGAACTTCATTTTAACGCAGAAATTCGCACAGAAGAGCAGTAAATCAAGTCGCAACACTACATAAAAGCACATATCAAGGTAGGAAAAGAGAAAAAGGAAATGCTAATAGATCTGAGAGATCACAAATAATGAATAGTGAATTCTACTCAGCTTATTAACTTAACTCTCATTCATTTTTCATTGAACCCTAGCAATTAGATTACGTCACCCAACCTACTTTTGTAACTTTATTTTAGTTTCTAACCGACTAACGCCTTCTAAATTACGTAACTTGTTGTCAAAAAAAAAATTAACAAAGGAATTAACACATCTTTGGAAATATTCCTTTTGTTGCCAAGAAAAATTATTATAAATTTGCGGTTTGTACAGCTTGAGAATGATATCGCCGAAAAGAGTAACTCGTTGCTGAACGCCTTTTCTTTTCTATGACTGAATGGGAATTTTCAAATAATGAATACATCTGTGCTATTTATAACGATTTTGAGTCACGTCACTAACAGTTTCAAACCGTTGCTTGGTATCATCTTGAGGTGCTCAATCAGGCACTCTACATCTCCATAATTGACTCAGACCAGGAATTTAAGGACTTAATGGATCGAGCTCAGGTTCTGATTTGACCACCAAGGCTAACTCTTTTCTGGCTTAATTCTGTTTCTGCTAACGATGCAGCCTCACAACTTCATTGTTTGACTTCTTTTCATTACCTAGCAATCTACGCCAGTTGTCAGTATTGCCCATCAAATCATATCACTTAAAATGACTGAACTACCGTCTTTACGGCTAACGTTTATATTTCTGACCATATTCTTCCAATTAACACGAGAAACAGAAGACAGTCAAAGAGTACATCATGAGACCATAAAGAACCTGCATGTGGAACTAATCCAAATTAAAACAATCATAGTGTGGTGTGATTCAGACAATTTGTGCCAACCGAATATTACTCACACATATTCCCACAGTTCAATTCGGCATTAACAACAGAATACAATGTATCTATTTGAACATTCCGTTTGTTGCCAGAGTCGGAATACTATTCCCACACTTCAATACTGCAGTAGCAACGGTGTACGACATATCTATTTGAACATTCCATTTGATGTTAGAGACAGAACATATTTTCCACGGTTATATAATTCATTAACAAAAGAATACCTTGGCTTCCGTGTCTTGCCTTCTGTTGTTACAATGGTAGTTCGTAATTTCTGGCACAACTCTATATTGATGGGAAGTTTGTTGAAACACTACATGAGCATAAATGTATTTTTCCACTAAAATTGAAGTCACAACTTACAAACTGATTAGCGATTTACAATTTATACAGTCCCCTTGGGAAAACAGAATTATTAAGACCACAGTATGCGGTCTGCTTGATACCAAAAGTGGTAATCAAGAAATCATCCAAAAAACTGGACTCTACTGATTGATTGTAATGAGTGGTTGGTGTACCACTCACATCAACCAGTAGTGCTTGTCAGCTGGCCACATCCAAGTGATGTAAATACTGGACAGTCATTCTGCTTATTTGGGGGGTGGAGCTTATCAACAGTGTATCCGATGTGACTCAGTTCAGTCCAGATCACTTCGATCTGGCTAGGAAGCACTTCCGTCTAATGTGAGAGGTACACAACTACTCATTTCAGCCAGTCAGTAGTATCTACGAATTTATGGTCTCCTCTCACTTATGACCAACACATAAACTTGTTGTCTTTCTTTTTGAAATACCCCTTCAAATTTTGTATTTACAGGCGGATTTTCATACTGAGAGTTATACAAAAATTCTCTTTTATACTGTTGTGTTTTACAGTGGCATCTTAAATTTCTTTATTCAGCTTGAACTGAAACGATTACCTCTTCACATATAGTTGATTTGATGATAAATCGTAATAATGAGTCGATAACATCAAATACCATTCATTCACATATCAGCCTTAAAAATATTTTTAGATCTGGTTAACAGGGCGTTTTTTGAATCCTGTGCTCTTCGAGTGCAAAATAGGTTTTAAAGCTTCAGTTGTGAAGTTACAGCAGCCGTAGTGTTGATTTCTTTTATGGAGAGAAATAACTAGTCTCACGTTCAACCTTCCCATGTTACACAGGATTAACACCAGCTATATAAGGTTTAGCAGTGCATCAGACAGTTGGCAGTGTGACTTGGCATTAGGATCATTTGGTTTCACAGACTAGTTTGGAGGACTCTAGATGTCATTGAGATTTATATATATATAACTCAAATCATTACTCTTAATACATTTAATTCTACTCCAAAAATATGGCGGAGATATGTGGATGACACTTTCACACACAGTGTTAAAAACAGAACATATCTCTAGCTTCTTGACGCATATAAACTCACTAGTAAAGGGAATAAAATTCACATTTGAATCGGAAAATGAACAAGGAGAATTAGGTATGTTCGAGTGTATAAGAAAACGAACGGAAGAAGGTAGACCGCACACTTTATAAAAAACCAACGCATTCTAATAGATGTTTAGACACTTAATTCATCTCATCCGTTAACCATTAAGGCAAGCTTAGTTAAGTGTCTAACAAATCGAGCAGTAGCACTAAGTAGTATACATCAAAAAACGTAAACGATGAAATGAAACAGATAGAAGAAGCGTTGGTGTTAAATAACTAACTATCCTATAAAATTTATGAGAAGGATCAGAAAAGGTCAAAAACAAAATAAAAATAATCGGGGAACTAATATTGATAGCATAAATATGAAAGAATATAAGGCATCTACTGTAGTTTTAGCATATAAGGAGGGGACATCTGAAACCCTTCCTACGTAGGGTTCTCAATAAAGCAGGAATTAGATTGGCATTCAAACCTACAAACTCACCCAGAGACGCTCTGTAGACTAAAGGACCCGGTAAACCCAATCAAACAAAATAATATAATTTACAAAATACCTTGCTATGACTGTGAGTTAGGTCAACTACATACGTCGAACTAGCAGATCAAGAGTAGTGAGATTATCAGAACATAAGAATTTAACTAAGGTTACAGTGATTGATCCCGAGAAGATAAGTAACTTAGAAAAAAACTTAGCAATTGCCATGCATACATTAACACACAACCACACAATACCATGGTAGGAGACGGTTAAAATTCAAAGAAGTAATATATGTAGATGGAGAGAGAGGTTGATTACTGAATCCTTTTTCATCGAATCTACACCCAACGCATGCAACGGGAATGACTCATCACACATACCCTAAATATGGAAAATACTACTACCAATCAAGTCAAGTGATGAAAAATAATGGGATCATACAAACGAAGTTAGAAAGTTGTGTGACTACCTTGATATGATTATGAGCAGCAATAAATTGTGCTCGAAACGTGGACATCAGTAAATATTACTGTATAACACTGTGAGACTTTATCAAAATAAATTTTACACATAATGGAACAACTCTAATCACTCTATCAGTTCGTTCAAAATCGATTTCTCGAAATCATTCTGTTCATAAAGATGAAATTTGTTACACAACATAAAATACTCTTTAAACATTGAGAATATTCTTTAAAAATGTTAACTAAAAGCTTACTTTCCAAGTAATTGATTATACCATCCATACAATGGCATATTTTCAGTAATTTCTTCTGATTTACGCCAATCTTCAGGTAGGAGATTTCTTAATGAATTCACTTGAGTACGTACACGTACACGGGCAACAGCTGCAGCTAAATGTATACACATAACTTGAACAGAATTTTCAGCTATCTAGATTAATCAATAAATAAATAATTTAGTCAGTAATATTCTATACAAGTAAATCTGTTTTGTATAACATTTGTACTAACATTTTGAGAAGTGTCATTCCTATAGACCTGGACATTTTTAGGAAATACTAGTGTATACGAATTAGATAGATACAGCCAAACATTTAAAAAAAGTAGTTAAAGTTTTAGGTTACTTCGACTGTCTCATTGGATTGCTCCACGAAGAAACTATTAAACAATGAATAGCAACTGTAACGAGAGAAGATGAGAAACTGGGTTATTTTAATTCCTTCAAGTTCGCAGTGAAACATAGAGCTTCAAACTAGAGGCCCAAAGTTTCTGTAGGAGTGGTGTTTATTTTTACGGGGTGGGGTTGCTAGCCTCACGCCCAACCTCCTCTCTTCACCAGTTTAATTACTGGCTTAGCGAGGTAAAGGAGTGCGTCTGTGGCCGAAGATCAAACCCCGGACCACATGTGTGGTTGGCGAGCATTCTACCACTATACCACCGACTGGGTAAATGACGTTTATTAAGGAAAAAACACATCATATGTAAACACTCTTAGCCACATGAAAGTTCCGCTAGGTCAGATGAGAATCAGTCATCTGGATTGGTTAGCAGCTGGTCCGAGGTTAAGTGGGCTGTCCAATGAGGTTATTTCATGTCCAAAACGTAAACTAAATCTATACTTGAGAGGCAAACAATCCTACCTCTACAGCCAGCCATTTTTTCACTTTTGGCGGCCTCCTATCACTCTGCATCATTCCACACAACTACCTTGAATACGAACAGGAGTAATGCTTCATAGATATTTCAGTGCGGTTGTTCACCCCTTGCATTGGTGTATAATTGGTATAATTATGAGCAAGAATTTATGTTCGAAACGACATCCAGTTGTTGATAATGCGTCACAGTGTGGTATTTAAAATAAACCTACCTAATATGGAATTACATCCTACCTCAATGCCCAAGTTCTGCACTTACATCAAGGAAACTACACCGTTATACCTGGAAAGGTTAAAATTAGTGTATTTACAGTGACACTATTTTGTTCTGGCTTTCTCTACCTTAAGACCAATCAAAGTATTTTCCAAATCGAGATAATGGGATTATCACGGAATGTAACTGATTTGTAGAGTCGTTTAAAGCGACCAGAATGCACCTCTACAGTACGACAGTGTAACCAACAGATCACACCGAGATACACAAACGTCGGACAGCGAGAAATGATAATAACTGACGGTGACGACAACAACTACAGCTACAAACGCGACAACGTTTTTTAGACAAAAGACATGGTATATAATATTGACAAATTCTCAGTTATTTGAGCTATAAGTAAATAAGCAGATGTGATTGTAAGTATACAATAGTAAAGGAGTTACGTAATAAAGAAAAGAGGTGAGCAAGATGATGAGTAACTAATAAATTGGTGACGATGTACTGAAATGCCCACTTTTCAAGGGAATAAGTGCTTCCAGTAGTTGCCATTACCATGCATCTACTTGATACGGGTTATGAGGTGGATATCGCGAAATCCTTTGAAATTATCACTAGACAAAAGAGCTCAATTCTTCTCAAGTTTGCCGAAGCAGTAGCTATCAAATGTCTGAAACACGACTCATGTGTCTAAAAAGAAGCAGTTGTTAGTCTTTCCTTGTCCTAGCAACTGGGTTTTTTGATCTTCTCTTTCACTTGATTAGGTAGTCTTCAGCTTTAAACTCACCCGCCCCATTCGATGTAGTGTAATTTATTATTTACTCATCATCTTACTAACCCTCGTCTCCATTACATAATTCTTTTACCATTGTATGTATACATGCATATTGTTTAAACTTGAACTCCCTGGTTAGAAACTATATAAAAGTAATTTTCTAAACACTGTTCACTAAGTTTGGAACCTTCTTTCAACTGACATCATGTAAAATTTGTAAGCTGTACGCAACTGATGAGAAGCCAGCGAAATAAATGATGCTACCATCTTGTTGCGCACGAACTGTTGTTCTTGCCTTATTCAAATTAATAAATGAGAGTAAATGTACAAATATGTCTGGTTATGTGATGTCTCAATCCTTTAGAAGATTAAGCCACAAATAAACGAATCAAAAACTATCCAATCAGGTTGTCATTTCAGTGCATGTATAAATCACGACTTCACGGTTAACGAAGAAAACTTGTCCGTCCTAACAACTTGGCGTATATAAGAATGCAAAAAAATATATACAGGTAAATTTGTGTATATTACCTTGAATATTTCTTCCCCAGGTGGATAAAGTACAACCCGACCATTAGGTAGAATAACTTTCGACTTTTCAGGCATTTCAAGTGAACGTTCATTTGACAAAAGTGTACGACGTTGAAAATTTCTCATTGCATAATCATAACACAATACTAAAACTAAAGTATCTTCATCTCTTAACTCTGGATATTGACTGAAAAATGATGTTTCATCAAGAAGTTTTTCAAGTATTGTTGAATCTGTAAATAATAATAAATTTTCAGATAAACTATGAAAAAGCTTAATACATCACTTATATGATTTGATTTTTTGTCAGTGATAAAATGGATTACAGTCATTGAAATGCATTTCAAAAAAGATGAATAATTAATTCCCTTGAATAAGGAATGGAATTAGTAATATTTGTGGTAACTGAAAGTTGACTAGTGATCCACCACAGGACGAAACTGCCTGGAGTTCTAGTGAGATGTTCTGACCAGTAGGGTCCATCAGATCGGTTGTGAGGATAAATAATCTCTGGTGACGAGACTGGTTGGTGGTAGAGCAATATTTCATAAACCAGCAATCGAAAGACATGACATGCATTCATGTTTACAGCTGTGAGCATAATTTCAACTGAGATGGTGCAAAAACCTTAGAAAAAGGGAACACCCTGGTAACCGTAATTGTTTTTGTTCATATGCTTCTGTGTTGTGTTCTGCTGCACAACATTCCACTCAATTTTGAATTTGATTCTCACTCACTGAGTTGAAATCACTATTAAGTTACCAAATCGACTAAATTATTTTGGCCATCTTATAAGTGTACTTTACTATTCATTGCCATCTGCATCATCTCTCTGCCATAACATGCCTAAATTCACTTTGTTTTTCTATCTTGTATTTTGTCTTTAGTCCATCCATGTCTCCAAGAGAAAGCTGAACTGTACTTCCTTGTCTGGTTAGCAAATAGGTAGTTACTCTTTTAACACTGAATAATTCGTCTACCTACATCATCTTTGAGATAATGTTGCCTATACTTTCCATCTATAACTTGAAGTCATTGTGGACAGTATGTTCAGATGCTAATTTGTAAGTTATAGTTGATTTTGTTTAGTATGTACGCAGTTGAAGCGAATCCACGCAAGAGAAAACGAGCTTGTATTGTCCTGCAAGTATGTTTCTTCTCTCTTTAACTGAACATTAAGTATTGGTATTGTAGGGATTTTGTTTGATTGCATGGAGGATTTCATCATGAGCTGACATTATTTAGAGAACCACTGGAAAACCTGGGAGTACTGGACAGCTGTTTCGAGCAATACTGAGGTTAGGCGTTGAGTGCTAGGTAAGGAGGGGAAATCAATCGACGAGGCTGTGTCGACTGGGATAGTTAGGATATGTGTTACTCATGCCTAGTCACCGCCTTCCTCGACGGCAATGTTAGCTGACATACGGTTAGTTTGGAAAACAGCCAGTTGTGGTCAAACTAAAACATGGCACCCACCAGTCAATGAAATCTACAACAGTTAGTCTAAGCCACGTAGGAAGGTGTAGACTTCCAGACTGGTTGGGGTCCTCGGGACGGTAAAAACCAGTGCTTGGAAACAATTGGCTACACGGCTCAAAATCGTTCTCAATGGCTAGCGCAGATGCACCTACTCCTTGTGACTTATAATTTCCAATGAAACTATATTGTTATTCGATATTGCTGTTCTTTTTGTCTCATATCTCTGTTTACTGTCTGTATTTTGCGTTTCTTTTTATTTTCTTCTCCGGCTTCGTGTGCTGAGTGGAGTATGGTGACTCGAACTGCTGAAAATAGGTGCAAAGTTCTATGGTGAAACCAGTCAGTCAAGCACTAGGACGAAACAGTTGTCTAATAATCCCCAGTGGTTTTCAATGATGGTTCTCTAACTGATATCAACCCGAGATCAAACCTGTAACCAACCAAATCCCCAAAATCGAACTCATGGAAATTTATCTGATGCTCGCTATTGATTGGCTGCAGGGAAAAGTTGCTTGTAGATCTAGTGAGAAGTCAAGACCAGTGGGGTTCACACAATCAGAAATGAGGACAAATACTCGCCGATGACATTGGCTGGTGGTGGGGGTAAAATCACGAATTGGTAGGAGTTAGAATTCATGGGCTGGTCATTGACTAGACTTCCAGTAGCTGGATGGTCTATGAGCCTAACTTTTAACCTGAATGCCCTGGGTTCGAAACGTAGTGGGTTCGTACAATTCATTTTAAGACTTTTTCCCTATAATCTTTCTTTGTTTGTCTATCTATTTACCTATGTATAGTTTGACCTATCCATCCAGGAGATATTTTAACATCCATAGCCTGAATAATTAGAAACTTCGTCCATCACTAAGCATTCATTAAACACTTACTTACATTTCATTGTATCAAATGCTAGTTTAATAGTACTCCTTTTCTCTTGTGCATTAGCATAACTCATCTTTACCATAGGCGCTTTATTGAGCAAGCCATAGGGTGGTGCACTTGTTGTAAGTGTCTAGAAATTAAAATATTAAAAAGTATCTACGTTAGTGGGTAGTAATTATAACGAAATTATTATTTTTAATGTTGTCTACCAGTTAGAACAGCAATAAGAGGTTATTTAGTCTGCTGTACCGGGATCCAGGTCATATATCACCTGAACATGAGAGTATCGCAGTGAGTGATGCAGTTCCCACCATCTGGTTAGTTTACTCACTTTATTGTTCGACCTTGTCAGTAAAACAACACGTTTTTTCTGAGCAAAGTAAAACTAAAACGATCCATGGAATGAGAATGCACGTGTGACCTTGAGCCGATCAGTCAGGAAACACGGTAGCTTTTACATCAAAATGACGTTTACTAATAAAAGAAATATGCGAAAATACGTTAAACAGGATATATTTCCCTGACATGACTTAGAAATACCTGCAAAATATTATTAGGAGTATAAGGTTTTAAGTCAGACAAGTTTCTGTACATGAATTCGCCGAGGCGAATAAAGACGAGTTCTCATTGTGACCCCTTTAATGCTTTTATACTGTTTCTCAGTCTTCCCCAAAAGACCTCGATAAATTAGTGTGGGTTCCAGCAAAAGTACTGACAACTATGTACTAGGAAAATAAGGACAATAAAAGTAAATAATACCAACCTCAAACCTAATCCTAATCATAACGCTAACCTTAATCCTAACCTTAACTCCAGTCATAACCCTGAGTGTAAACCAAACCTTGATCCTACCGCTAATCGTGACCGTAACCTCAATGAACTATTAAGACAATGTTCAAACAGTACTTGGAAGCTAGATCGAGATGAGATTTGCACCTGGATTCATGCATAGCGTACATAGTAGGTCTCGTTATCCAACCAGTAGTATGCGTTCAAGGTCATTGGGGCGTTCACACTCCTGGACTGTTATACTAAAACTTGATCTTGCTGTCCCCACTTCAGGTATTGTCTAAAAATACAATGAAAGCTTCACAGCTGTCAGAAAGCCACAGACATCAAGCTGCCTCTTGATGGCACTTGCCAGAGAGATGTGTCTGCACTCTTGGAAGAATTCATACCTCTGCTGAGGTCTAACCCAGATCACTCAATGCTGCTGCAGTCACAAAAGTTACCAATAATCTATTCAGGCTCACGATTGATCTCTTGTAGAACTGTAATGGATTGTTCGATTGGGAACTAACAACAATTCAGAGTGGTACATGGTGGCAGGACACCTTGCATGGTGACCATATTGCAGACTTGACTGGGAGAATTCATTCCGCGCAAAACGAAAGACTCGACACATGATACTATTTACCAACTGGTGGCCGATCAAATTAAAACACCCACACAAGGAAAGATACCAGCATGCAGTACATTCAACTGAGCTGCAGATCTTCTGTATTATTCCACTACGCCTTCGTATGAAATAGTTTTAGATTGCAGGGGGAAGTTACACCTCACTGTGGAGTTTCTGACTTTAGAATGGACTGACATCAGTTTCAGTCTTATATGAAACATGCGTCTCCTGAAAGTCTCATACAAAATGTACTATTGAGTACGCCAATTTGAAACAAGGCTTCTCAAATATAATGAACTTACAACTTATATTCAAACATTTACTGACTACTTCCTTTCTAAACCATTACACATTTTTGCACTTTAAACAATTAACTAGAGCTGGAAACGTCAATACACATTCACCAACGGTATACATGCCACAATCATTCAAAGTTTGTATGCGCCTGTCCAACAGTTTGCTGTTAAGATAATCAATTTCCTTTAAAGATATAAACCTGAAATTATTAACTAGGAAAGCACGAGACACTGCCTTCCTCGCAAATAACTGAAAAAAGCATCACTAATCATTTTTTCTTCTTCACACTGTTGAGTAATAAGTTGTCTGTAACCTTAATTGATAATTTCCTATTTAAAAGACCGATAATACCTACTGAGTCAGGAAGGGGAATGGCAGTCACGATAAATATAACACGGATTGGCAGAAGTTGGAATTCATGGATCAATGAATCGGGTTCTAGTGGTTGAAAAGTCACCTTTTAACCTGAAGGTTCTCGGATCGAACCCTCGTCGACAACGTCTGCTGAAGAGTTCCATACTAGGACGAGGCGGTTGTCAAATACTCCCTGTTGTTTTCCAACCGTTCTCTAGCTGATGTTTGCTCGTGATCAAAACTATAACCAGTCAAATCTATACAAACTAATACTTGAAAAAAAGAAAATAAAAGATAATTCATACAAAACGTGTGACTCATATAAACTGGTACATGAAGAGTCTCTTCTGGATAACTGAGAGAGTCATTCATTCACTGTGATAAACTTAAAGTTGCAGTTCGAATGAAACTCGTCAGCAAGAATTATTGTCGTCAAATTAGCTGATAAATCCCGGGGCTAAGAGCTAGTCAGTACGGTATGGTGCTTACGAAAAAAGCATACTAAATAAAACGTAGTTATTATAATAAAACAGTTTACCTCAATTTCATTGACTTCGGAAATGCCTTCGATAGCGTTGACCACGAAGTAATCTGGAATCTACTTCAAAATTACGGCGTGTAGCGCCCAAGTCTTTATCAACCTCATTTAGCAACTATATGACAGGGGCACGTGTCAGGTGACATACAATGGAAAATTCAGCGAAGGCTCTGTAATGAAGGCAGAAGTTAGACAAGACTGCTGCCTACTAGCACCCATGATATTTTTAATTGTAGTGGACTGAATCATGCGTCAGACTGTGCACTGGAGTGAGAAGAGAGAAATACACTGGACCGATCAGGAGACTCTAGAAGATCTGAATTTTACGGTTGATTTATACATATAGCTACACAAACTCGAAGACAGGTAAAACCGACAAACTAGCTGAAGAAGCTGGCAGCAAAGACAGGATTCCATTCAGGCGAACATAGAGAAGACGGAGGTGATGTAGATAACCAATGAACATCAGCAACAACAACAACAACCAGCACTAATCACCATCAGCGGAAGAAATCTGAAAGAGGTTACTTCCCTCACTTACCTAAGAAGCACCGTTTCAACTACAGGCGAATGGCACGGATGAAGATATTAAAGACAGAATCGGAAAGGCAAGGTACACCTTCTAAACTCTGAAATAAGTTTGGAATTGAGAATAAATAACTAAAATCGGATTTTCAACACCGATGTTAAGTCAATCAGTTCTCCTATATGGGTTGGAAACTTGGCGCCCGAGTCACGGAAGGCATTTCCAATAGGTTGCAGACTTTTGTTAACAGCTGCCTTCTTTGTTGGCTCCATATTGAGGACCAAATAGCCAGGAATTATTAGCAACAAGGAAGTATGGGAGTAAACCTACCAAGAACCCTTCACTCAACAAATATGCAGGAGAAAATGGAGGTGGATTGGGCACACACTGAGGAGATCATCGCTTGGCGTCGTGCGGCTGGCCATCACTCGAGTGGAACGTGAATGGGAAACGACGAGTTGTGCATTGGTCCGAGGGTGATATGGAGAAGATCGTGGGAGAAGGAGATAAAACACTACGTAAATCGCGGAGCCAGCCAGCTGAATGGGACTGCAGAAAAAATTACAAAATAGAGATGTGCTTTCTAAGCCCTAAGTTCCACTCGGAACCTTAAGGAACAACAATAATAATGGTGAAACAGGAAAATCTCTTTCCTCTTACATCACCTCTTTTTCTCCTTCTTTGTTCTTCCTCGTCTCCTCCTTCCTCACCTTCCCCTTTTTCTGTTTGTTCCTCACCTTCGATTTCATTTAACACTTCATCGTCATAACTCGGTTGAGATTGTCTGATAGATTCTTGTGGCAACAGTAATTCAGATTGCAGATGAATACTAGCCAAACTGGTTTGTTCATATTCTTCTTCTTGTGATTTTAATACAGTCGATTCTCTTATTTCTTCATTGTCAGCCATCTCTTTATTATCATCATCATCATTATCATGTTGACCGTTAACAGATCCATCGTCTACTGTCTGTTCAAGTGTTGTCTGTTGACGATCAATAGCCTGACCTTTTGTTCCAGCTGTCAGTAAAGCTTCTTGTCGTAGACTTTCTAGACGATACCATTTCAGTAGGCATGATGCGAAACAAAATATCTGTAATGAGAAATCATACAATAACAATATATGAAAAGGTTAGTTATCTTCGACCACAGGTTTTCTTATTCTATCTACCATGTTAATTGGTAGAATATGACAAGCAATATATGAAGTTAGGCGAGAGGTGTCAGGTAAGGTAGGGAAGTCAATCGGTGGGCTTGTGAAGCTGCATTGATTAACTCAGCTACGAAATGAGTTGCACACACAGTAAGTCATTGGCTTTCACGACTAGCTAGTCAGAGTTATGATGGGTTATGCTTTCGCTAACTTACACCGTCTCTGGCGTAGGCGTGACATCCGGTTATCAACCAAGGGACGTGTGTACTGCTCAGAGGTTCGCTCCGTCCTTCTCTATGGCGGTGAGACGTGGCCATTGAGAGCGGAAGACATGAAAAGGTTGACTGTTTTTGACCACAGATGTTTACGATCTCTTTCTCGCGTTAGGTGGTATAATAAGGTAAGTAGTGTTGACGTTAGGCGTAGAGTGTTGGGCAAAGAGGGAAAATCAATCGAAGAGGCTATAAAGTTACATAGATTGATATGGCTAGGTCACGTGCTGCGCATGCCTAACCATCGCCTCCCCCACCCCGACGGGCATTACTAGCTAGCTGATATAGGTGCAGGTTGGAAAACAGTAAGTGGTGGCCAAACAAAAACATGGCATCAATCAATCCATGAAATCCTTGACAGTTAAATTGAGTCAAGTAGGGAGATGCAGACTTCCGGGTTGGGACTCCTCGGGACTCTAAGAATCAATGGTTGGAGAAAATAGGTGACATGGGTCAAAATCGTTGTCAATGGCTTACGCAGATGTATTCAGTCTCTGTAATCTTTCATATTCCTTTCTACCATTACTCATTCTGTTTCACTCTCATACTTGTCAAAACTCTATTGATTCTCTTCACTCATTTTCTTGTCTACTTTTGTGTGCTATTTGGAACGTGGCAACTCGAACTACTGCACTTCGGTGCCAAGTTCTATGTTGAATCCAGACAGACAGTCATGATGGGTGGTCGAATCGAAACATGGAGTCAATCCATGGATTATTTGACTATTAGTTTGAGCCATCCATATAGGGTGCAGTGGACCACCTTGTTGAGGTCATCGAAATGCTACGAATCATAGACTAGAGACTGTTAGTGATACGGCTCAGAGTCGTTCTGGATGGTTGAAATTTATTCACTTTTCACAATCTAGTTTTAGTAAATCCTAATTACTCTCTATGTAACTATTCTTTCTCCCGTAACTTTCCGTTCATTTTATTTAGTTTGTTTGCTTTATCCTGAAAAATAAATGTTCGAACTTTAATCTGGTTCACTAGTTTACATTTCTGTGTATTTAAGTGGGCTATTTGAATTTCCCCAGTGAGTTACAGATTGTTTATTGTCCGTGTATTCGTGTGTTTATACTGTGAATAACTTAACCAAATCCAAATGAATATATGATTTGGGAGTGGTTTGCTCTGTAGATGTAAAAATCCACTGTGAGTATGCACACTCTGATAATCTGACTGACAGGATTAAAGAAGTTTTCTACTTAAAAGTGTTTATAAGTAGTATGATCTTTTGATATAACTTTTCTCCAACGAATTATGCGCGTTGCAGTTGTTTTGCATGCATTCAAACAGTAATGTTGAAATTAACATACTTATTTATTCTCCACAATCAGGTGATGAAACTCATTGTCTAACCAAAATTCTTGTATAGTAACAGTCTAAAAAACAAGTAAATTTTTACCGATGGCTGTACATGAATGCAAAGTTGAAATTCTTTTCAGCCCGAACACCATCTCAGCTAACAAGTCAACTTGAATGGTTATATTTCTGAAATATAGGTGTGTATGTATGCATTTATGTGGCTCTTATAGGTTAACCGGAAACTCTGAAGTCATCCGGATACTTACTTTTAGAAGTACACTCTGAATAGTTATATTATGGTGAGAACTCCGTGCTAGCCAAGTTGCTAGACAGCAGTTTAAGTCAATGTTTACTTCCCAAATCTCGGTCATGAGAAAGAACAAGAACAAAGACTTTGCGTGGGTGGATACGATTGGCAGATATATGGTCTGGCCTTCAAGGAAACGGTGACAAAGAGATGACACATTAACTTTCAGAGAGAAAACAACCAATCAGAAGACGTTGCTTCCCTGCTAATAATAACCTGTAATAATGTACATAAAAATCTATAAATATCTGTTGATTTTCTCAATAAACGATCTGTTGCCTGGCACTTGTCTTCTGTCATTACAATTTGATACAAGTTCATTGTCAAAGAAGCACCAACAAATGCATCATTAAATTAAAAGTTGAATACATATGTAAAGACAGAAGACAAGGGTCAGGCAACAGACTGTTTATTGGGAAAATCAACAGATATTTATAGATTTAGATATGATGGAGGAAATTTGTATCTCAGGTGGATGATTTTGATGTACATTTTATGTACATTATTATTTGTTTTGGTTAGCAGAGAAGCAACGTCTTCTGATTGGCCGTTCTCTTGCTGAGGGTTATTCTGTCATCTCTTCGTGGTCGTTTCTCAGAAAGTTAATCCATATATCTGCGAATCGTATCCGCCCACGCAAAGTCTGCTGTGATTGGTTGTTCAGTTCCTCAAGGTTAAGCTACCTATTGTTTTTTCTCATGACCCGGATTCGGGACGTAAACACTTACGTCAATTGTTGTCTACAATTTTGTCTTGCGGACAGTTCTCATCACACATATACATATATTCTTCGCCTTCATTTTCAAGCGGCTGTCCGACTGCCCTTAAGGTCTCGTTTCCTATTCATATGGTGTCCTCCATGTCACCATCGGATGCCCAACCCACCTCCTCGTTTCTAATTTGGGCGATGACCTGGAGCCTAATGTCACTCAACAGTCTATTCAGTATAAATCCAATCCAACTTCATTTCCCTCGGCATAGTTTCTTGGTTGGTTTGTTCCCAAAGTTCCTTGCTGCTAATCCCCTCTGGCCATCTTACCTTCAGTACGCAGAACATTTAATAGGATGAATGCTGCCTGAAAACTATTTAGACGAACAATAAATTGTACTCAAAATGTTACAGCTGGAATGTGCTACATTAAATAAATTAAACTATGAAGACACAATAACTCTCTAATTTTTATTCTCACATTTTATAGAGACTTTATTAATAGAATTTCTTAAGAATCCTGCATAGCGTCTCAGATATCCCTTCCTTATATGGGGAAACTAATTATGATACCAAAAATAAGAGAGAATATAAGGCATCTACAGTTCTACCATTTAAAGAGGTCATATCTGAGGCCCTCCCTACGTAGGATTCTCAATAAAGCAGGAATTAGGGTGGCATTCGAAACTAAAAACTCACTCAGAGACAAGCTCTGTAGGCTAAAGGACCCGGGGAACCCAATCAAACAAAATAATATAATTTAAAAAATACACTGCAATGACTGTGAGTTAAGTCAACTACATATGTCAAACTAGTAGATCAGGAGTAGTGAGATTATCAGAACATAAGAATTTAACTAAGTTTAGAGTGATTGATTCCATGAAGATAAGTGATTTAGAAAAAAACTTAGCAATTGCACTGCATGCATTAACACACAACCACACAATACCATGGTAGGAGACGGTTAAAATTCAAAGAAGTAATATAGGTAGGTGGAGATAGAGAGAGATTGATTACTGATTCCTTATTTATCGAGTCTACACCGAACATATGTTATGTAAATGACTCATCACATATACCCGAAATATGGAAAATACTGCTACCAATCAAGTCAAGTGATGAAAAATAATGGAATTATACAAACGAAGTTAGAAAGTTGTGTGACTACCTTGATATGCTTATGAGCAGGAATAAATTGTGCTCGAAACGTGGTCACCATTAAATATTACTGTATGACGCCGTGAGACTTTATCAAAATTAATTTTATCCACAGTGGAGTTCTAATTTTAATTTCTGGCAGATGTATTTTAACAGCTTCACTGAAAGCACGGCTCCCTGCAGTTACAGATGTGGCACTGTGATGTGCTTCAAAGGATCCACTCTACATTTTACCATTACAAAACTGCAGCTTACTTGTTTTGAATAGGACTCATAACGTAGATGTGCTACTGAACCGAACCCTACTTCTGAGGCATCAGAAAACAAGTGCAGTGAAACATCCGTTGGACTGAAGTGTGGGGTTGAAAACAGCGTGGAACTTCTAGCTTCTTAATTCAGTTAATGTCAACAAGCCAAGCCTTTCATTCATCACAGATACTTTCATCAACAGGTTGGTATGATTCAAACTCACTTCGGCATAGTTGTTGCACTACTCTTTTAGGTGGAAGTAGTAGTCAGGGCGACATAATCAAGTGGGTCATTTAACGAAGCGATACATGACAAGATCCCCCTCTTCGTCACCGGACGTACCGGCAGATTTAATTCAAACTTAAAGCAATCTGATTTCACAGACCAGCATAAACCCAGTGTCTTCTCAACACTTTTCGAATTTTCTGTATGACGTATGTTGGGTGACCGTTCACTGATGGGAATGCTGGACAACACTTTCGCATTATTACTATCCCATTTAAGCGAACGAAATCCTCCAAGAGTGAAAAGATGACGCAGTTGGTCGGCTGACTCAATGGTTTCTCATACCGTTTCTGCTGAGACTAGCCAATCATCTACATAGAAATTTTCTCTTAACTTCCTCTCGTCAAACAGTTTCACATTGTCAATTGCGGAATTGAATAGTACCATTTCTTCATGTTCTATTGTGCAATTGAGATTCAGATGGTGTGAGTTGAATTTTATCAACAGGTCTTCAGCTATTGACAGACAATAAAAATATTATCAACATAACATCGGTATAATTCCGCTTGTTGTATATGCTGTTGCAAATTACCGGCTTCTAGGCCTGACAAGAATAAATCTGAAAAAAGGCGTTCCCATGGGGCTTCTCATGTCCACATAACTGCTCCTAACATTTAACGATATGGTGTTTGTCTATATGCTTGCAAATATTTTTGGAAAACAGGGACTATTATTACCCCCAACAAAATTAAGTAATTGGAAACCAGGCGCTTCGAAAAATTTATAGGAAAATGGTGTCGTTCTAAGTGTTCTTAGTCAACAGGACTGGATAAATGAATGTACAGTTCCAAAAGTTGGCACATTTTAATCATTCTTCATCCAAAAACAACAACTTTATTATTCTAAATTTAGATCACGAACTTATATTAGTTAGAGAATCGCTTTAAACCAGGGAGTACTGGACAGTTGTTTCATCATAGTTTGCTACTGTTCACCACTACTCACCCATGACCCTGCCAAGGATCGAACTTACAACCTTCAGATCATGAGTTGAGGTTGTTAAGTTTTATAACGGAGTGACATGGAAAGATTAGCTGTGTTCGATCATAGGTGTCTGCGTTCTATCTCCCGTGTGAAGTGGTATAATAAGGTGAGCAATATTGAGGTTAGGCGTCGAGTGCTAGGTACGGCGGGGAAATCAGTCGACGAAACTGTGAAATTACATCGACTGAGAGGGTTAGGACATGTGCTACGTATGCCTAGTCATCGCCTTCCTCGACTGACGGGCAATGTTAGCTGATATAGAGTCAGGCTGGAAAAGAGCTAGCGGCGGTCAAACGAAAACATGACACCAGTCAATGAAATCCACAACAGTTAGTCTAAGCCAGCCACGTAGGAAGGTGTAGACTTCCTGGTTGGGGTCCTCGGGACGGTAAAAACCAATGATTGGAGACGATTAGTGACATGGCTCAAAATCGCTCTCAGTGGCGCAGATGCATCCACTCCTTGTGACTTATGATTTCCAATGAAACTGTTTTGTTCTCCGTTATTACTATTCCTTTGTCTTACACCTCTGTTTACTGTCTATATTATGCATTTCTCCTACTTTCTTCTCTTGCTTTGTGTGCTGAGTAAAGTGTGGCGACTTGAACTGCCGCATATATGTGCAAAGTTCTATGTCGAAAACCGACCGACCGACCGACCGATAACGGAGTGACGCCAGGTTGTAGATTCGTCTAACATGAGGCTATAATGAACCGTTCACTTGAATTTATCTCTCACTCTGAGACAAACACAAAAATCAGACTAACAGAAACAATGACCGGAAGGACAACAACGAAAACCTTAGTTTTCCTCATTAAACAAAATACATGACATCTTATATTTGTAAACCCTTCAGAAATATAAGCCATCAACAGACAAATTTGATTGGTTGAATGCAGTTGCAGTCCTTCAGAAGATTAAGCAGTAAATGAACCAATCAAAACTGTCCAATCAATGTCAGTGGTTAAATAAACCACGACTTCATGGATAACAAAGGAGCTTGACTATCTCAGCATTAATCATCCTGCGACTGGGATTGAAATCAATGGCAGTGTGCCCATTTGCGATATATAGCGTACCACCAGCCAATAAAATTACTTTAAAATGTTTAACAAAGCAAAATTATTGCTCTGATGTAGCGCATATCTGTTATTTGAGTACAGCGAGAGAGAGAGATGTCAAGTAGGAGAGTAAAGCTGGTCATCATACATCGATGGAAGATTCCATCCTTTTTTGAATTAAAAGTAACGAGGATCAAATTCTTCCAAATTGTATGAAAAAAATTAATAATAACTTTAGTTTACTTTCTAAATAACTAGCAGTAGTCCTCATCGAGAGAGAGGGGGAGAGAGAGAAAGGATATAACACATTTCAACTCACCTGTTCCGGATAAAGACATGGTATAATTCGAAAGTATTGCTCTAATTTATTTGTTCGAACATGCTGTCCTGTGGGTGTTTTACTTTGTCGTGCATTATGTGCCACTGAAGCTTTCCGATTATTTTTTACATACGGGTTATCTTTGAGCGATTTAGATCCACTTTCTGCCATTACTACTTATTTATTGTTTGTTACTGTGCTCTTCATTAGTTATGTAATCAATGATGTTTGTTTTTGAAAAATGACACGTGATCACACATCACACTAGTTACTAGTGTCATATCAAAGACACGTGATCATATTATTGTAAGAATAAATGTTTATGCGTGTAGTATGGTGCCTCATGAACAATAAGTGGAGTGGCTTGGTTTAATAATTACTGATCATGTCATTATGTGATTATCAACTATTAATATTTACCCTACTTAAGAACAGGCAACCTAAACCTCTCTCTATCTCTGCATGTGATACACAATAATTTTCAGTCAATCTAACATGTTCAATCCATGTTTTATCTGACCATTTCTAACTTTGAAATTATTATTACTTACTTTGGTTTCGAGTGGAACATAAAGCTTCAGCTGCAGTACATCTCCGTTTTGTCTTGTACTCTGTTTCACCGTTGACCGTAAGCTCTCATCTCCTCCATGTCACAAGCGAATGTCCCACTCGAGCGATGGCCTGGCTCACGATGTTACTCAACAGTCTCCTCAGCATGCCTTCTATCCATCTTCATTTCTTTCTAAGGATTTGTCTTTTTTGGTTGGTTCCCAGAGTTTCGTGTTGCTAATTCTTTTTGGTCGGTCATCTGATGTTCAGTGTGGGGCAAAGGCAGCTTTTGATAAAAGTATGAATTGGTCTGTTGGAAATACCTCTGTTGACCCTAGCGTAATGTCTCTCAACATTATAGAAATACTAACCTGACATTAGTGTTCGAGATCCAAATTTTGTTCCTGAGTGCTGGAGATTACTACGCTGATTTCAGATTAATGAAGATCTGTCCTACTCTTCTAGTTCTGTCACGGACATACTCATCTGTGCTGGCAGTACTTGAAATGATGCTGCCCAAGTGAGTAAGTGAAAAAGACAACTTCCTTCAAATTTGCCCCGTCTGCCGTGAACTCTAAAACAGTCGAGTAGATCTGTAGCTTATACGAATGTTTTTGTTATTGCGTTCTCTCAGATTGTCGGCATTCTATGTGACAGAGATGGTGTTAAGCGTGAAACTTACAACTTACTATACAGTTAGCAAAATAAATGGCCCTTTTATCTTCTACTTGTAATTTATGCTGGCAATATTTCAATTATCTTGTCGTAATTTTAGCTACTAACATTAATGACAACCACTTTACAGTTTTTTGTACATTTTTGACTTTACTGCCACTACTAACATCAAAATACTGCTATTATCAATTTTGGTTACCTATACCCTGTAATCAACGAGGTTGTGAAAATACATTGATTGAGATGGTTAACGCATGTGTATTGCATGACTAACCATAGCCTTCCTCAACGGGCAATTTTAGCTCACATTACATCCGTGAGGTTGGAACAGAGCTAGTAGTAGCCAAACCAAAATCAACACGAAGTCAGTCAATGAAATTCATAAGTCAGTTTAAGCCAGCCAGCCAGCCAGACACCCAGGCAGGTGTAGACTTCCTGACTGGTTCGGGTTCTCGGTATCCTCAGAACCAACGAAGGCTGAAGATAATTGGTCATATGGCTCAAAATCGTCGGTGGCACAGCGATTAGGACTCTCGCCGACCATACACATGGTCCGGGGTTCGATCCCCTGGCGACGCACACCTGATATCAATGGTTGGCCTGAAAATTTGGGCTACCGATATCACATGCTGAAAATTCCATACTTGCACCAAAAATGCGGTGTGGAATCAAGCTATAATCAAAAAAAGTCCTCGTTGTCAATAGCTAGAGCAGTTGCATTCACTCCTTGTCATTTGTCATATCCAATAGAACTCTATTGTTCTTCCATATTACTATTCTTTTCTCCTCATTCACACTTCTGCTTATCATCTCTCTTTTGATGAATCGTTCTTTACTCTCTTCTCTTGCCTTGTGTGCTACATGGAGGGAGAGTGGCAATTCTAAGTGCTGCATATCTGTGCAAAACCTCGCCTAGATTAGTAGGTCACTAGTATTCTAGCCGGTCCCAAGCCCGGATAAAGAGGGAGGGTTGGGGCGTGGTGCTAGCAACTCCACCCCCAAAACTTAACCAAATTGCTACTAAAACTTCAACGCACAAATATATTAAAAATTCTAAAAATGCTAACAATAACCTTATTTTTCGCTGGAATCGGGGAAGTGAAATGACGCAGGCTGGTGAAAGCCTTCGGGAAGCCAGTCAGCCGATGTGCCTTCTTTCGACGAAAGCAAAAATAAGGATGGGGACGTGGAATATTCGTACAATGTACGAAACTGGAAAGGCTGCTCAGGTAGCCGCAGAAATGAGGAGATATAAAATAGAAGTGTTGGGAATCTGCGAGAGCAGATGGAATGGATGCGGAAGGTGCCAACTACCAACTGGAGAGACAATAATCTACTCCGGTCACCCAGAGGACGATCACGAGCACACCGAGGGAGTAGCCATCATGATGTCACCAACAGCGGCTAAAGCTCTCATGCAGTGGGAACCAATCTCCTCCAGGATAATGACAGCCACGTTTAACTCAAAAGGAAAGAAGGTTACAATCATTCAATGCTACGCGCCTACAAACGTCTCAGAAAAAGAGAAGAAGGAGGATTTCTACAGTCAACTACAAACAGCAATGGACAACGTCCCAAAGAGCGATATCAAAATCCTGATGGGTGACGTGAATGCGAAACTGGGAGGAGACAACATAGGAAGAGAACTCACCATGGGTCGTGAGGCCCTCGATGAAATGAACGAAAATGGTGAACTCTTCTCAGATTTCTGCGCCTTCAACGATTTGGTGATTGGTGGCAGTGTGTTCAAACACAGGGATATACAAAAGGCAACATGGATTTCACCAGATGGACACACCAAAACCAGATAGACTTCATTTCAATCTCAAGGAAGTGGAGACGGAGCCTACTGGACACAAGGTCAAGGAGAGGAGCAGATGTGGGTTCAGACCACTATCTAGTACAAAGGACTTTCAAGGTGAAGCTAAAAACCTGGAGGATAGCTGGGGATGGGCCACAATGCAAGTTCAACACTCACAAACTGAAGGACACAACCACAAAGGACACATTCACTGCAACTGTCAGAGCAAAGCAGGAAACACTACGTGGCATCACTGAGGAATCATCCGTGGAAGACCATTGGAACTCTCTGAAGGTAATTTTCAACGAAACGTGTTCAACGGTTTTAGGAAGAGAGAAGACACAAGACAAGGAATGGCTCTCAACGGACACTTGGAAGCTAATAGAGGAGAGGAGATTGGTGAAAGAGGAAATAATTCAATGCAAAGACGGACAAGAGAAAGAGACATTGAGTTCAACTTACACAGCACTGGACAAAGAAGTGAAGAAGAGTGCCAGGAAGGACAAAAGACAATTCTACGACAACCTGGCTACTGAAGCTGAGAAGGCAGCAGGCAAAAGGGACCTGAGGACACTATATCAGATAACCAAGTCTCTATCCGGGAAGAGATCAACACAAGTGAAACCTATAAAAGACAGCCAAGGGAACCCAATTACCAAAGAAGAAAGACAGATTAAACAATGGGCGGACCACTTCAAAAGGACTCTTGAACCGACCACCACCTACAACCCGTCCAGAAATACCAACAACAGCACGTACACAACTGCAAGTTGACACCAATCCTCCAACGAAAGCTGAAGTCTTGAATGCAATCAAGCTTCTGAAAGCTGGAAAAGCAGCTGGACCAGATGGAATACCCCCGGAAGCACCGAAAGCGGACCCAGAGACGACAGCAGATATGCTGACTCCATTGTTGCAAAAGATCTGGAAAGAGGGAAAGGTGCCTACTGACTGGAGGAAAGGTTACCTCGTGAAACTACCAAAGAAGGGCGACCTAGGACTCTGCAAGAACTGGCGAGGAATCATGCTCCTGTCGACGCCAAGTAAAATCCTGAGTCGCATCATCCTGGAGAGAATCAAGGACGCACTGGATACAGAACTCCGACCAGAACAAGCTGGATTCAGGAAAGGAAAATCATGTTCTGACCAAATTGCAGCTCAACGCATTATCATCGAACAAAGCATGGAATGGCAATCAAATCTCTACCTCAACTTTATAGACTTTGAGAAGGCCTTCGACAGCGTTGACCGCGAAGTAATTTGGAAACTACTCGAGTACTACGCCGTACCCCAAATATTCATCAACCTTATCCAACAACTGTACGACAACGGCACATGTCAAGTGATCCACAACGGAAAACTCAGCGAGGCGTTTGGAGTAAACACAGGAGTCAGACAAGGGTGCTTATTATCACCAACGATATTCCTAATTGTGGTGGACTGGATTATGCGTCAGACAGTGGGAAACGAGAAGACAGGATATCCTGGACCGACGCGAAGAACCTAGAAGACCTGGATTTCGCGTGTGGATGATTTATGTTTGATGTCACACAAAATCGAAGACTTACAAGCGAAAACCGACAAACTGGTCGAAGAAGCAGCAAAGACAGGACTCCAGGTGAACATAGACAAGACGGAGGTCATGAAAATAACCAACCAACCAACAACAACAACAGCAGCAACATCCAGTGCCAATCACCATCAACGGGAGGGATTTGAAAGAGGTTACTTCTTTCACTTATCTAGGGAGCATTGTCTCAACCACAGGAGGAACGGACGAGGATGTCAAATCGAGAATCGGGAAGGTGAGAAACACATTCATCAACCTGAAACCAATCTGGAAATCTTCGTCACTCAGCCTGCATCAACAACAAAATTCGGATTTTCAATACAAACGTCAAGTCAGTTCTTCTATACGGATCAGAAACTTGGCGGGTCACCAAGAATATTTCCAACAGCCTGTTGCAGACCTTTATCAACAACTGTCTTCGCTCCATACTGAAGATTAGATGGCCGGAAAGAATCACAAACAAGAAGCTATGGGAACAAACAAAACAGGAACCAATCGCCCAACAAATATGCAGGAGAAAGTGGAGATGGATTGGACACTCGCTGAGGAGGCCGTTGGGTGACATCGCACGTCAGGCCAGTGCTCGAGTGGAACCCGAAAGGGAAGCGGCGAGTTGGACGTTCAAGGGTGACATGGAGGAGATCGTGTGATGAGGAACTGAAACAGTATGGATTAACATGGACGCAAGTGAAAAGTAAAGCACAAGACAGAAGCAAGTGGAGGCGTGCAGTTGAAGCCCTATGTTCCACTAGGAACCCAAGGGAACAATAATAATAATAATATCTGTGCAAAGTTGTATGTTGAAACCAGTCAGTCAGTCGATTCTCCCAAATTGATTATCACTTGAAGAACACAGTAAAGATGAGTAGAGAAGTCTATTGATCATGAAGAGCGGGGGAACTATAAGCATGCATGAAAACTGAGGATATATAAAATAATACAACATAATAATTAGTTGTTACTCAGTGCAACTACTATTAATTAAAATTAGTACAGAGTATATTTTGATGGATGCTCACCGCCCCCCACCCACTCACCCTTAATAGAATGCATCAAAACAGTTCTATTACCAAAAAAGTACCTTCGATATTTATGAAACATCGAAATAATAGGACAGTTCGAAGTATTGACATACTTGAAACCATTTGTTGAAAACACTGTCCTGTGCATAAAGTTAAATTAAATAGCATATTTCATACATTCGGTTTCCTTGATAAATTTCGATAAAGAAAGAAAGACCAGATTTGCAGTAGAAAATGATATCACTATTCAATTCCACAGGTTCTCATCAGATGAAAACTACCTGAAATTACAGTGGTTATAAATAATGACAATAACATACTTTAATGTTTGAATGGTAGGAGGGGAAATATTATAAAATCAACGCATGTGAAATATAAGCATTACAACTTTTGGTCTAAGTTACCATGAATGTTTTAAGTGTTTTAAGTGATTAAAAATGTTCATCAAAATATTTTTTCAAAAGAAGAATTTTTTTTTCGATAACTACCTACAGTACATAAATCGTTAAGACCAATAATGGATATGCGAAATTCGTCCTACCATGCTCTAGCTAGATGGTTAGTAAATAATCTCAAACCTTTGCATGAGCAGATAGTGAAACATAGTGTCAAAGACATATTTGAATTCGTAGACAAAATCAAAGATAATACTATAGACGATAAAACTATGATATCTTTGGATATAACGTCTTTATTCATATATGTACCTCTAGTATGTATGCGTCGGTGGCACAGTGGTTAGGACTCTCGCCGACCATGCACATGGTCTAGGGTTCGATCCCCTGCCGGCGCACACCCGATATCTATGGTCGGCCTGAATTTGGGCTACCGATATCCATGCTGAAAATTCCACACTTGTACTGAAAATACGGTGTGGAATCAAGCTGTAAATCAAAATAAAATAAAATAAAAATAAAAAATAGTAGAAACAGTTAACTACATATGTGAACAAGTGTATAACCAGTTGATAAATATTGGCATCTCAACGGAAATCCTAAAAGAATTGTTATTAAGGTGTATCATGAATGTAAATTTCAAACTTAATGGCACACTTTACAGACAAGTAGATGGGGTGGAGATGGGCTCCCAATTGGGTCCCTTTTTGGCAGATTTCTTTCTAAGTAATCTAGAAAATGGACCTTTGAACAACCTTATCAGGAAATTCTCATTTTATTGCAGGCATAAGGATGACACCTTTATTCTTTATGATAATGATTCAGATAGGAACACAATAATAACTCAGTTCAATGAAGAACATTCTGATATGAAATTCGCATGCGAAGAAGAATCCCAAAATACAGTTGCCTCCTTAGATGTCCTCCTTACAAGAAAACCAGATGGCAATATACAGATAAATTTGTATAGGGAAAGTACATGAACAAGACAATATACACGTTTCCATAGCTTTGTTCCTCTCCACTGCAAAAGAAATTTAGTAAGAACCCTCAACCACAGGGTTAGAGCTATATGATCAGAAGAGGTAACTGAAGATGAACTAAGGACCGTATACGATACCTTGATTGACGAGAGCTATCCAGAAAAGTTCATCAGGAAGAACATGGCCAAGAAAGTAGAAAGTGACTATTCTCTATCTGTAAATAAGATGCTTTTATATATACGGCTGCAGTTCAAGAGTGATGTATCGAATAAAACAACTACTAACAAGTTGAGAAAATCTTTTCAAAGAACTGTTAATGTTGGTAAACTACGAGTCATATTTTCTACACGACCGGTCGTGAATTCCTCAACTGAAAAATGAAGTACCTAGCCTAGCCATCTCTAATTGTTCATGTCAGTATAAGAATTTATCAGAGATAATATAAAAAGAGAAAAAAGAGGGCAAAACCAGAGAATGACAAGAAGGAGGAAGGCAAAAAACCAATCACATTACCATACAAAAACGGTACATAAGAGACAATTCGAAGAAACCTCAAAAATATTGGGATTCGCACCACGTTTAAACCGACGAATCTAATTAAAAATACGATAAATCAACTGAAAAATCCCATAAAAATGATGGATAAAAACAATGTGATTTACAAAATATCTTGAGCCGAGTTTCCGATTAAATATGTGGGTTAGTCGTCCAGATCACTCAAAATAAAAGTGAGTGAACATAAACGCCTAACTAAATGTCAACCAAGAGGAACACAAGCTTACAATAATTTAGAAAAAAAATTCATCTATAGCTGCATATGCATAGGGCAAAAATCACAATATCGATTGGAACAATGTGTGTATTCTAAAAACTAATATGAACAAATGGAAAGAGAGACTTATAACAGAATCTATATTCATTACGGTCACACCGGATACAAGTAACAAGGGTGACTCAGCAGCACAGCTGTCAACAACCTGGAATATAATTCTGAATACAAGAAAAAGAACTATGTATATGAGTACCAATCATAAAGTGTTAATTAAAAACAATCCCAACAGTTGGTGTGATCACGGGCGGTAATTTTGCTCGAAATATTACCAAAAAACAAAAACTTATCATTGTGTGCAAACTATTGAAATATAATTATAATTTACCTCTAATTGTATCTACCAATTCAACTGCTCTTGTGGAGTGAGTTATATTGGCCGTTGCTCTAGGAACTTGATTTTTGGTGTTCAGAAACACCAACAGTGTGGCTAAATAAAGGTGTTGTGAAAAACATCAACGGCTCAATATTAGACCACCAGGTCCAAAGCGGCCACAAAACCAGCTAGCATTGAAGAATCCTTCTCTATCATCTATCGGGTACAAAAGAAAATGCCAAAAACATCCAGATGCCGCATACTCCAAACAGCAGACGCTATCGCGATTCACCTTAAACAACCGATGCCCTGAGTGCAGAAGAAGCAAGTCCAGCCAGCCACTACTACTGCCGTGACTGACCTTCAGTAGAGACTAGAAACTCATGAATTTGTATTATCTTTCTTAATTTTTCTGATATTCAGTGTATTGTTATGTTGATGCTATTAAAGTGTAATCTATTGATATTATTATTATTGAATCTATGTTATTAAAGCAACATTAATGTTATTAATAATACTAACTCATTCACTATTATATATATATATAACACTAGAGACTGATGATGAAGGTGTGTTATCGAAAAGATTCTTTATTCAGCAACCACCCTTTTGAAATAAATGTTTCCCTTAATATCAATTACAAACAATACCGTAAACAAAAAGAAAATAATAATGAAGCCAATTTCTTCCAATATTACTCTTTATTTATAAATAATCAGTGTTAATCATTAGAAAACAAACACAAAGGACTGTTTACAAGATGACATAATCTAACATAACATAACTAGCTTTCTCGAAGACAATGACGTTCTTTTTTTTTAAAAAAAAAGGATCCTATAGAAGTATGAAGAGGAGGAGAAGCAAAAGGAGTAAGAGAAGGGGGAGGTAGTTAAAACAACAATTTCTTTTTTTTTAAAAAACACCGGTTGTTTGGTGAAGCCATCAGCCCTTCGTCTTCATCGCCCACTTTTCTTTTTATACAATCATGATTTTGTAGTAACACCTCTGTGTAAATCCATTTGACTTAACAGTTCACCTGCAGCCTCTTCAGTTTTTACACGTATTAACAATGGGACTGGTTTCGGTTGTTCATCACCTTCTTTACTGCCTGATGATGATTTACCTTGAGACGGTAAAGGCGGTGACGGGACACATACCAATGTCAAGTTATTTTTCTGTTGTTTAATTGGAACATCTTTTGTAATGAGTACATTCAGTAGTATGTTACCTAAAAGAAATAAGAAAAAGAAAAAAGTAAGCATGCATTTGAGATTATTCACTGTGATTAAAATGTAGATATTTTAAAACTGAATGAAACCGTAACTTATTGATCTATTCAACAATGACTCCATACTCTTGAAATGAGACTTTTATACATTTCGGGTTCGCGCCTAAGTGGGAACACCATCATTCACTCACTGACTTACAGGGGAATGCAGGTAAATACACTGGTTGACGAGTCCCAAATAGGACGAGATGAGAGTCCTGGATTCGACTGCTAGTCATCATCCACCAATTTACTTCAAGTTAAATAATTAGAAATCGTCGAAGCATCTAAACAAGCATCGACATGTCAACCTGATGCCAAACACTTCGCTCCAATGGAATCAAATAACTTCAGATTATCCAAAATCTGATTTTACAGAGTTATAAAAAGTGTATTGTAAAATTCCTCGAATAATCAACCATCAGTCAGTTACATATCCAAACAGAAGGCCGCAATATAGCTGTAAAAGCATAGGGATGTAAAATCACACGTACAGTAAGGTGAGGGGGGGCAATTTCTAGTGCTAAGCAAGGAGGGAAAATCATTCAATGAGGTTGTGAAAATACATCGATTGAGATGGTTAACGCATGTGTAATGCATGACTTATCATAGCCTTCCTCGACGGGCAATCTAAGCTCACATAAGATCGATGAGGTTGGAATAAAGCTAGTGGTAGTCATAGAAAAATCAACATGAAATTAGTTAATGAAATTCATAACAGCCAGTTTAAGCCAGACAGCCAACCAGACACCTAGGTAGGTGTAGACTTCCTGACTGGTTCGGGTTCTCGGTATGCTCAAAACCAATGAAGGCTGGAGACAATTGGTCATATCGCTCCAAATATTCGTTGTCAATAACTGGAGAAGATGCATTCACTCCTTGTTATTTGTCATATCCAATGGAACTCTATTGTTCTTCCGTATTACTATTATTTTCCCCTCACTAACCTTCTGTTCATTATCTATGTGTGTTTTGAATCTCTCTTCACTCTCTTCTCTTGCTTTGTGTGTTACATGGAGGGAGAGCAGCAACTCTAAGTGCTGCACATCTGGGCAGGGTTCTATGTTAAAACCAGTCAGTCGATTGGGGCATTTTAAGTGATTCGACGTTGATCCTTGAGTTAGCTGGCTGGTTAGTTCGAATTCAGCTAACCACCAGTATCGGTTTATGAGTCACACTGTTTATTGTGTGAATATTGATGGCATCTCATCCTTATCTGCCAAATTTGAATTAAGATAGTATGAGATGTCAGCCTGGAACCTTATTTGGCTATAAGTCGAGTGCCTAAACCAATGAGTCATATTTTCATAAACTCTTTATTCAAATAATTATATACAAAAAGTGGTATATAATTTGCTTTATTCCAAAACAGTACTCATGATGCAGTATGGAATTCTCACCATTTGCTGCAACACTGCATCTAATCTACTCGACAATAACGGAAACAAAAATAAAATAATATTACAGGATTGATAATAGTAGCTAATTTTGGTATTTGCAGTGAACAATAAAATCAAAAATGTACAAAAAATATGAAAAATAATGGTGAAGTTCAAGTATCACAGCCAAAGTCAAGGCCTGCCAAAGGTTAGCCTTCATAACCAATCAGATTTAGGGAATTATATCACAGATTATTCTCCTTTGATTCATACCTGCTTTTATGAGTTTGGGGAGAGAGTGTGACGGTAAGGGAACACAGCCTTGTGAAAGATAAATGTTGCAGTTGATGAAATAAGAGGAAATTGGTTCGTGAGGGAAGATACTTTTTTCTTTTAAGGTTAACAGTAGAGTAAAGAACAGAGAGTCAGGAATGTCCATCGATCTTGAAGTACCACGGTCTACAGTCACTCGCATGAATAAATCTATCACTCATGGCATACTTTCTCTATGAATTAGCCTTGGATTACCTGGGAGATACTTTTACGACACAAAAGACACAAAAATCATCTAGTGCCATCTTACATTTGCTATGCCTTTTAATACATATTAAACGATTACGCGACTTTTTTCCATCTGCATTCCGATTGGTTGCTCAAGGTCATTTCGGTTTTGGCTAAACTATTTTAACTTTGCTAAAATAATGATGATAATGTTCATAGCTACAATTATAAGATGATAATTGAAATACTATCACCGTATATTACAAATAGGAGAGAATAAATGAGACAATTATGTTGATGATAATAATAACATAGTAAGTCGTAGGTTTCGCGCTGAACATTATATCTACCACCACACAGGACATATATATATCTGTGTCTTACCAAGGTTAGTATCCGCTCGCATTAGCAATTGAAATTTATCAGTAGCTGTTGGTTTTATGAAGAGATTGCCAAGACCACGTTCTCGCCATTCAGTATCCACTTTGTAGAATAATTTACACCTATAAAGATAAACAAATCATGAGTAGTAATAGTAGTAGTATATCCATGCACAGTGAATTAGTCAAAAACATTCCAAAAAGTCAGCTGGGGAAACAATGCAACAATTATTTGTCATTGAGCCTCTTCTGTTGAGGTGTGACACTGTGATTCGCTGGTTCAGGTACTCAACTTCTAGCCACTGGGTCATTAGTTCAAACCAAAGATAACAGTATCAGTGTCTCTCTTATATCTTACCTATTTTCTATTATTCCCCACCACATAATCTTTCCTGGGCTACACTTAAGAAAGGCCTTGTTACACTGAGAAGAGCATTAAAAGTTATCCGTAGGGCGAGTGTGGTACAGCCAAACCAACTTGTTTATACTGTTGTAGATAGGCACACAGACTCATACAAGAAACTGGCAAATGTTATCCTGTCACACTGTGAGTATTCTCTTTATACACAACTCTCCCTTCGCATCTCATTAGGTAGGACTAGGAGCAGTTATAAAAGACTTTATGCTCGGGCAACTAAGTAAAAAGGTCTACAACACTTTATTTAGGAAGCTTTCTAAAAGTGATGAGGAAAGTATTATGCATGGAACTACCAACTTAAGGTGAAACACTAAGTAAACGGCCCTTTCTTTCACTAAAATACTGTCACATTCTGGTTTTTATTCCCTTATGTTCCATGTGGGACATAGTGCTTCAAGCTTTGGCTTTGAAGTATCGGTGGCAGTGGGTTGTTTTATTTTTACAGGGTAGGATTGTTAGTCTCACGCCCAACCTCCCCTCTTTACCGGCCTTACTACCAGTTTACAGAGGTTTTAGGAGTGCGTCGGACGGGAATTGAAACCCGGACCAAAGTGCGTGGTTGGCGAGCATTCTACGGCTGAACCACTGACAGACAATAAATCGGCACTATTTCTACATAATTTTAATTTTACATTCATATGCTTACTGACATTATTATAAATGTGCATGCTCTGTTAATTACTTCCCCACGTACTATGTAATGTGAGGATAAAATTAGATGCAGTATTATATTAGATGCATCAAAAGTACTGTTTGGAATAAGGCCGTTACTATTACTATTATTATTATTATCAAAAAATAGGCTTGGCTCGTTGCCAACTCTACATGGGCACGCGAATGGTTATTGAGTTTATCTCATGCATTTATATGACGATAACAGATCAGAGGTAATCGAAAATCAATCACTCAGAGAATTTAGGACCAAAAATTTGTCGGATATGTATTATAAGACTGTTCGATCTTTCAAATACAAACTGTGTCTATCAGCTGAACTTAGTGTTAAAATAAAAATATTAGAAAGAAAAGTAGTTGGAGACTTCACATGACAACGTGACGTGACACACGAATGCTGACAAAGAAGCAAATGCATGCTTAGGAAATCTTGTTATTCTTTGTCAATACATCCCTTTCATTGACTATACTATCTTTTAATTTCCATCGATTCTATCATAGTGTAATGTTAAAAGATATGAAAAGAAAAACTTTTCTACAATTTCCTTTCAGCGATTCCAACAACCGGATTAGTGAACATGCAAGTCTACCTGACGAAACCAGGAGACTTAGTTTCCAAACCTACGGTGTAGTATGCATAGGCTTCACAGAATCTGAAGGGATCAGATGACGTATAAACCTGTTTCGGTCACCTGCAACCATGGGAACGTTGCTCCTGACGCTGCCACACTGTCTTATGGATAAGACTTCAAGTCAAGTGCACATTTGTGGTTCCTTAAGACAACTATCAGCTTCAGTGTAGGCGTCCGCCCAGTATCCCAACCTCCGCACAAACTATGAGACTTTGTTTGGCGCATCTCTTGGTGCCTATACTTGATCAAGTTTGTGTTTCAATAATAATAATTATTATTATTATAAGTTTTCTCCACCAGAGTCCCATTTTTCATGGGATATGTAAGTCTGTCTGTCTGTCTGTTTTCAACATAGAACTTTGGCACCGATGTGCAACAGTTCAAGTCGCCACACTCCATGTAGCACACAAAGCAAAAGAAGAAAGTAGAAGAAATGCAAAATAGAGACGGTAGACAGGGATATAAGACAATAACGAAGAACAATATAGTTTCATTGGAAATTATAAGTCATGTAAGGCTTAGAATCTAAAGTATTGGTCAGCATATCGAACTGATCAGTCTCAAATTAAAAAAAAACGAAACGCGTATCCTGAATTCCATTATTAGCCGCTACTAAAGAAGTGACACTAATCTAGAATGTACGGACACACCGATTCAAAGCTGCAAAATGCTGATGAGAACCAGCTAATTCGGCCCAATCAAGTAGACAACTGGAAATTAAGGGAGCAAACAAATGACGACACAGGTCTATGCCAACAGCATTATTAAGTATGTATGTACTGAAATAAGGAGAACCAACCCCTCTTCTTATAAACACAAAATTCACATTCTGAAACGACGGTGTTTATCTATGGTCAATCACTGGTAACTAATTTGTTTCAGTTTGTTTTTAACTCCCTATTTTAAGTATATCTTTGTCGAAATAGATATTAAAAGACATACACCATCAACTAATTAATTACGAGTGAATGATACTAGCCTAAGAACCATAAGATCAACAGTTTAAGACAATAAGTTATGCTATACAATGAAGTTACGGAGACGTAGCTCATTGGCTTAAGAAATCAACTTCCAACCAGTCGGTCCTGGGTTCGAGTCCCGTTCCACCTATTTCAACCTGGTCAACTGGATAGTGTTGTCAATCCTTACGCAATAAACGTCGTTTACAACCTGGTACATGAAAGGACTATTCCCGGAAGATGAGTTCGAAGTACAACGTGTAGTTAACAACGAAATCTCTTACTTATTTTAAACTTCTTTAGATTTAATAGAGTATGATTATATTTCAATAGTTTACACACAATGATAAGTTTTGTTAATGGTAATATTTCAAGCAAAATTACTGCCTGTGTTCACACCACTGTTGGAATTGTTTTGTGGTTTATTTCAGTGGTATGAACACAGGCAGTAATTTTGCTCGAGATATTACCAATAACAAAACTTATCATTGTGTGTAAACTATTGAAATATAATTATACTTTATTTGATATAATACACAATGCTCAAACTTTTTACTGATATTCTTTAGATTTGACATTGTGTTTATGTAAAAAGGAGAGAACCTCAAAACTCCAAAATGCTTTTACAGTTTGAGCTTCACTATCTACATTTTTTAAGTTATCAATTCACGACTTCTCCGATTATTTCAGCTAAGGTGTGGTATTATGCTAAAAGGAAGCAAGCTACTTAACGGAAATTCCCCCCAGGCTAGAGACGTAGAGTTACATACAAAATAATTTTCTACTTCTTTAGTACCAGCAAACATTCATCGTAAATTATTTAAATTAATCCCAGCGTGTTAAGAAAATCAAAACAAGATTTTTCTGAACGTTTCGCTGTGTAAGCCACAGCTTCTTCAGCAGACTTATTAATAATCCGAATAAATCTGCTGAAGAAGCTGTGGCTTACACAGCGAAACGTTCAGAAAAATCTTGTTTTGATTTTCTTAGCACGCCGGGATTAATTTAAGTAATTTATAATGAATCAATCTGACTCGGCGCTCAAATTATTCCAGGAAGTTCGTAACAGCTACGGCCTGGAAACCTATAATCAGCAAACATTGTTAAAGCTCATCAGAATTTCAGATTATGTGGTGAACTTACTTCCAAGTGTTGACTTGCAAGGACTTGATTTCAAATTAGATCACGTATTAACGTCAGTTAGAGGACTGTGGAAAACTAGTGGGGTTAGTGGACAGCTGTTTCATCTACCCGTGTCCTTCAAGTGACGACGTGAGTCAGTTATCCATACAGCCACTAGGGCAAAATCTAATCGCCCATGAATTCAAACTACCATCAATTTGTAACATACATCGCCCCCGCTAGCCACTGTTACCACCGAGTATTTGCCTTCATACCCAAATCGGTGTACCTCACTGCTTATGAATTGTCACTTATCCTTTTGTCATTCGCTAAAATGTGCAGTATTAGATTGATCTTACTAGCTGGATAAATAGTTTCACTGAAGTCACCAGTAGGCAAGATCTCTGTGGCACTTATATTGTTACGAATAAGACATTAAACAAACATAAAGTTACTAGGTATTAATAGGATGAAAAGCGTCTTGGTGGCTGAAAATGGTGACTTTCAACTTTTGGAGTATGTACTTGGATATGGGTGATCAAGAAACAGTATGCGTCCGCACTACTATTTTTTCGCACTCTAAAATAATAGTATGCCAACAAGAACGATTATGCTAGAACCAATGCTTAATACAGCCTACTTGCACAACTATTACAAGAATATCACCGATGATGATGACACCAAAGGGGTAGAATAGCTGGACAACATTGTACCAGCGTCAGAATAATCGTACACTAGTAGCTAAAGTCAATGTATACACCACGTGATAGAAATTTGCCATTTTACCTAGTTAGTGAATAACACCATCATGTTATTCAATGTTTAATATGTAACTGACTGACTGGTTTCAACATAGAACTCTGCTCAGACGTGCAGCACTTAGAGTTGCCACTCTCCCTTCATGTAGCACACAAGGCACGAGGAGAGAGTAAAGAACGATTCATCAAAAGAGAAAATAAGCAGAAGTGTGAATGAGGAGAAAAGAATAGTAATATGGAAGAATAATAGAGTTCTATTGGATATGACAAATGACGAGGAGTGAATGCAACTGCTCTAGCTATTGACAACGAAGACTTTGAGCCATATGACCAATTGTCTCCAGCCTTCATTGGCTCTTACCATCCCAATGACTCCAACCAATAACGTATCTCATACTACGCATTCCATAGTATTTCGACTGCTTCTATCGCTTAACGGAAAGTGAAAGAAAGCCATATTTTTGTAGACACTTGACTTTCAATCAATGACAGGTTTAAATATTATGCCGTTTCCTTAAGTTTCGGCAGTCAAGATGTATTATGGACTGTCATAAATGAATATCCAATTGATGACTGGTACTTACTGACTAAATTAATATCCTGATCCCTATCCAGCATTTTCAACTTTACACAAGTGGTCTGGAAGGATAAGTGTTCACTTGGAAGTCTTTACTGGACCAGTACTATCCATAGTTCTTTCAAAGGATTTCAGGTTGAATTGAAGGACAGGAAAATGCTAACTGTTTGTCCCCCGTGTTAACTGGTATAATACGGTGAGTAATAATGAGGTAAGGCGTCGGTCGAGTGCTGGGTGAGGCGGGAAAATCAATCGACCAGATTGTGAAGTTACATCGATTGAGATAGCTAGGGACATTTATATCACATTAAACCCCCTAATCTTAATATTCTTTAGCCCTCAATTTCCTGCTTATTATGGTCCTTTTGAATCCCTTTTTCCCCCTTTGTTTGTGCCTGTGTGCTTCATGGAATGTGGCAACTTGAACTATTGCACATCTGTGCAAAGTTTTATGTTGAAACTCAGTCTCGGTCAGTCAGTTCGTTTTCAGCTATGCCTCAGCTATTGGTAAAAAAAATCAGCATATTTTAGGTGTAGAAACTTAACTGTTGACTCATACGGTTAAAAAGTTGTAAAAAGAAAACAGCAAGACCAAATTACGGTAGATGCATTCTAAAAGTACACCATTTGCTTCTTTAACACTTGTAAGTTCCTTGAATATTTCTAAAGATAGACATTTCAGAGAGCTCTTAATTTTGCCTGAAATCAAAGTAAGTTGTTGAGTAGGATGGGTTCATCAAAGAATTCCAGTGAATTTTCTGCTTCGAAACAGCTGAAACCTGCGCCCATGACAATAAATAATCAAGGACATGTGTGATTGATAGGAAAGTGATTAACCATGCCAACGTATTGATTGTTTTAGAAAGTCTCGTCTACAAAGAACTTTAATCTATCAACAGATAATGCCTGTGACGAATATCTTAGTACATAAACACAGACAAGTTACAAAAACTTTAGTCAATGCTAGTTTTTTTCAGATAAAAATCAGACAGTTCTCATATGTGTACATAAGTGGTATGAAAAAAAACATACCTGGTAGAAAATACCGATCCATCTTCCTTTATTTCTTTCACTTCAGGTTTAGGTGGAACGTATTCCTCATTATCTATGTAAGTGAATATAATAGAAAGTAAGAGTTACCATCATCTTCTGTTTGTTGGTTTCCGAAAGTAAAAACTTGTTTAGAATCAGATTCAGTAGTCTTTTGGGAAAAGCTGGGTGTTTTTGAGAACTGGAAAAGTGATTGTGGAAATGTTGAATTAACCGTGGAGATAGGAGGTAAGCCAAATGAAAACGAAGGCTTCTTGTCTACGGAATCGGTTGTTGTAACAGGCGGTGTCGTTGTTGACGACTTTGACAGCGCATTGCCAAAGGTAAAGAGCGACGGTGGAGCACTAGTAGTTGAAGGCTTACTGACTTCTGAGTTGATATTTGTGGCACTACTTTCTTCCTTTTTCTTAGATAGTGGAATAACTTCGGCAGCTGACTGTTTAGGGAACTTGGAGTTTATATCAGAAAGATGCTTGTCGTAGTCGGTGAATATTGGGGTAAGAATACAAAACGGGTCTTCTTTGATATGCTTTGTAATCCAGTCAAGTAAATTCTGGTTGAGAGCTTGTACATGTTCAAGATACTCAGCATCTTCATCTTTATGCCCATTTTTAGTATTATTTACAGAAGTCTGTCCAAAGTTAAACGATGCAGCTTTTACATTTGAACAGTTGGAAAAGCCAGTAAACGATTTGAAAAGACCAGCGGTACCAGTATTCTAGAAAAGTATTAGTGAATTATAGACATCTTACCGATGACCTGTGTGTACGGGCTGTTAAGATTTTTCTTTGCGAAAGTATCTCTTTGTCTGCTTTTGCAAATTCCTCTACCTTTTTCGGTTCTAACTCTTCATCCCAGTTGTCCTGGTTTAGCTCTATATCAGCCCGTCTCTTGGCCATCTAGTGTAACGCCTAACTGAAATAAACCGCTAATATGTAGATTTAGATTTATTGGTTGAGGATATAAGGCTTGGAGTCTATGTTAATCCTTTTGTAGTAAATTTCTGTGCTTTTCCAAACCCATCTTGAATAAATCAGTTGAAGTTGCACTTCTTCTGGGAGTCGGTTCCAACAGTTTATAACACGGTGTGAGAACCAGTACTCAACAGCAGTATGATTTCTTCTTGGCTTTTGAACTCTCCTGCTATGTCCTCTAAGGTGTTCCGACCTGGTGGGAAGGAAAAGAGAGAATAGGTCAGGTCTGTAGTCATTATTTAAAATTTTAAACATTGTGATTAAATCTCCTCTCTGCCTACAGTATGACAAGGAGAAGAGATTTAAACTGTCTAGTCTTTCCTCGTATGATAAGTTAGTCATTTTGAGAACCATAAGTGTTGCCTTCCTTTGAACCCTTTCTAGAATGTGTGAGTCACCTTTTAGACAATGGCTGGCGGCCTGGATGCAGTTTTCCAGTCTTGACCTCACCAGAGATGTATATAAGGAGGTGAACATATCTCTGGTGATTCTAGTGAAGGCTCTACGAATTGCCCATAATGACCTGAAACTACGTGCAGCCACCGTGCGACAATGTGCTGTAGTTTTTAAATCGTTACTTACTCTGACACCTAAATCCGAATTAGTCTGAACTGATGGGAGTGTTATTCCTGCTAGTTCATAGGAGCTGACGCTTGCTTGTCCGATGAGCATGGCTGCATATTTCGCTACATTGATCAGGAGCATCTCTCTCTGGACCACTCTGACAATTGGTTGAGGTCCTCTTGCTGTGTGAGTGTATCACTGACGCCCTTCAGCTCTCTACAGATTTCTAAGTCATCTGCGTATATGACCATAGGGGAGTCGGTGAGCAGAGATAATTCACTGATTATTATTATTATTTCCTTTAGTTCCTAGAGGAACATAGGGCTTCAGCCATGCGTCTCCATTGCGTTCGGTTCTATGCTACTCACTGATATACAAAATAAATAGGAGAGGTCCGAGTGCCGTGCCTTGTGGTACTCCGCTGCGAACTGTTAATAATAATAATTTATATTTTCATATAAACATGAATTTACATGAAAATGCATGTCATTTTTACAGGCACGATCAAGAGGAGAGTTTTGAGTTGATCCCAACCCTCTGCCTCCTATCTACGAGGAATTCCTTAAGCCAGTTTAGTAAGCTGCCTTTGATACCAAGACTTTACAACTTCATGAGTTGTCTTTTGTGATTCAGATTTCGATTTTTGGTTGAGAATAGGCTGTAAACCTACATCAAGCCCTTTCTAATAAATACATGTGCTTGTTTAATATCTTCCCTGATGACCTGATTGTTAATGCATGCAATGTTTCTTCTGGGGGTCGGTTCTGAGAGTTAATGAATCACTGCGAAAACCATTGCTTCACAAAGGTATAGTTCCTGTTTGGTTGTTTAACTCTCCTGCTCCTTTGGGGTCTTCCAAGTTGTGTGAAAGGAAAAAATAAATAGATCAGCTTCATATTTATTTCTTAGAATCCTGAACACCGTGATATGAAGGAAAAGTTAAAACTCTTATCTTTCCTCCAGGAATGACGTTCTTCCTAGCCCTTTCCAGGATATATGGGCCTCTTTTTAGGCAGTGGCTGCTTGCTTGAATGTAGTCTTCCTTTTTTGACCCCATTGAAGATGCACACAAGGCGGCGAACTTTCTACAGGTCATTCTTGTAGGGGTCCTGCACATTGCCGATAAAGATCTAAAGCTGTGAGTTGCCCCCGCACAAGAGCATGGAGCGTTTTCCTGTCATCACCTACTGCGACAAGTGAACTGAGGGGAGTGGTATTTCCTCTATTTCGAATGCTCTGACACCTGAGAGTCCGATGTGCATTTTTGCGTACTTCACCACTTGGACGCTGAAACCGGTTCGTAACGATAGCGATTCTCTGTTATCCTTAAGCTCTCTTCAAATTTTGGGTCATCTGGGTAGATAGCAATGTGAGATTTGTTGATCCCGGGTAGTTCGTTGATATGCGGGGTAAATTTTTGCGTGGTGAGACACTTTTTGTAGTACACCGCAGCGTAACAAGGTCTAGGAACACAGTTGCGGAAATTCTCCCAATTCGCTATCTTCCATCTGCCGAGGATGATAGCCTGTTAAAAGACGTTATTTCTTCAGCCCGCTAGTGAGATAAACAATTGAAAGCCTCTCTTGTTGTTGACCAGTTTGTCATTGGAGTTGCGGTGACTTAGAAAACGATTTCTCTGTTTGGTTAAGTTCACCTTTCCCAAGACCCTTTTATTCGGCCGTCTATGTAAGTGACAACGCTTACTATTACATTATAGGAAAGAAATTATATTTCAGTGGATTTATTTGCTAAATTCAGTTTGTTCGAAATCAGTTTATGGACCCTGCGGAAGTGTCAAGAATATATCCAACTTTCCGAAGAGGTGATGACTTTATACAACTTCAGTTGTTGGTTGACTATTAGCTTCAGCAAACCTCAAGTTGGTGTAAAATAACCAGCAGCTGGATTTATCGTGGTGAAAACGACATGGCTGATGCAGTATATAACTACTTATGTATTGTCCACTGTTGTCATGAAGATTGGAAAGCGGGTCCCAAAGATCATAGTGAGCAATGTAATGCATTTCGGCTTCATTTATTATTTATTTATTTATTTTATTCCTGTTTATGCAGGAACATACCAATTGTACAGGCATGGATAATTTTTTAGAGGACTGCGGGTATCGACGTTCGCGAGTTGTACGGATTATACTAACGCAAGATCTTATACCAACAACCACTATAGTGTTCGTTCTTCGAGTACCAAATGGTAAAGCAAAAGACCAGATTTTGTCGTCCAAATACGATATATATTTTGGGACCAAATCGCGGGTAGGAATGAATGCTTAGCTAGCTAGTAATCGTGCACGCACGTGACACGACGGAGCACCAAATGGCGGGGATGCTTGACCGTAAGCCTTCAGCTAAACAAGTCGACTTAAACAGTGATGGTCAGCATCCAATGTTGAGTGATGATTGCTGTGGTTAATAATTTTGGGGAATTATTTACCGCTACAGCTCACTCCCCCCCTAGTGGGTTTGTGAGGACCCTAAGACATGACCAGCCGGAAGTAAAAGAATGTCGATGGTTCCCTGACGGGTGAAAAAAATCTTCCGAGCGGCTTGATGGAGTGCCTGCTGGTCTGTCTTCCTATGCTAATAGGGTGTCTGTACATAGCTTCCTCAGTGTTGTTCGTTGGATCCCGTGCTTCGTTTGTTTCCTGTCCAGTGCCCGTTGCACCTGGAAAAGAAAACAAGAATGCTGAGAACCTTGTCAAGAAAAATGTACCAAATAAGCGTTTTTTTTACCAAAAAAATATGACATGCATCTACTATACAGTAAAATAATGTAAAGTTCAAAATATCGGGAAAAAAAATATACATCTTATATAATTTTGTGTACGGTTATAGGAAAAATATCATTTACTTGTGTTAAATGACGCAACATAAAAAAAATTGATGTGTCACTCAGTTATGTGAGATAGGTGTGAAGGTATTCTGGAAATCTAACGTGACGTCCAGAACGCGTTTTTTTAGAGTGATCGACCGAAGTTTCGGTGGCTTTCGCCGTGCTAGGGAGTTTGTCAGGGGCCAGTCGTCGTGCTTTAGATGTCACGGGCTGTCCTGAGGTTAAGATGTGGTGCATAACATTGCTGGTTATACACGGGAGATCGTTAGATGGGCAATTGATTTCCGAATATTTGTCAACAATCGGTTGAAAAGTTGGATCGAGGATTGCTTTCATCTTAACGATTGACAAACTGGGGCCTACGTAAGTTATGCCTTTGATAGACAAACTAGTAGTGTTGTCAATTAGTCGTTTACGGCGGACGTCTACGAGCAAATCACGATGATTAAGTAGGTCCGTGCCAATGATGGGCATTGTGACGTCAGCGATTAGGAAAATCCACTGAATAGGTTTGCGTAAACCTACGTTCAGATAGACGTATTTCCGACCATAGGTTGCAATTGGTTTTCCATTTGCAGCCTGTAGGTTGAAGTTAGGATCCTTCTGTCGATCTGCTGCTGTAGCAGGAAGGACGCTGACTTCGGCGCCTGTGTCGACTAGATATCTAGTCTGGCTAATTACATCACGGATGTAAAGTAAGCGGCTAGTGCCACCGGCGACGGTTGCCGCTAACGCGTGCCGGCGGGATAGTTTCCCACAGACTTGGAGGCTTTGCCGAAATCACAAGGTTTCCGACAACATTTCGCTTCCTTGCCATAGGTGTTGTGATACCAACACCAGTCAGGATTTTTGAGAGAGCGTGTGTTGGACTTAGATCGTCCACGTGCACTTTGCCGTTGAGGGGATTTAGAACGACGGTAGGAGGAATTGCTAGGCTTGTTTGACCTAAGCATCTGCTGGACGGAGTTGCATAACTCTATCATTGCAGAATCCTTTCTCGAAGTCTGTTCGGTAACATAGTATACTTCAGTAACTGGCCGTTTCGTTATCTCTAGCATTCTATCTGCAGAGACAGCTAAATCATCTATGAGAACACCCTGAAGTGTCACAAGTACAGTCTGAACTGACTGTGGCAGTTTGGATAAAAATAGTTCTCTAAACAGTCCTTCATCGAACTGACTTTGGCCAATGATCTCTTTCATTCTTGCCAGCATGCTCACGGCTGACTGATCTCCTAACTCGATGTTACGAAATAACTCATCCAGACGTTGTCGATCTGTGAGAACGTTTCTCTTGAGGATGGATGCTTTTAGCAACTCGTACGAGTTACTTACCGACATCTGCAGAGTTACGCACTTGCTGAATTCCCGCGGTAGGGCGTGAATAACTGCAAGGAACTGTGAACGTTGATCAGTTATGCCATGTTCACAAAAATCAGACTCAGCAATCTGAAACCACGTTTCAGCATTATCTGGCCAATATGGTACTAGCTGGATTGTTTTGGCGGTTGAGCG